GCCTTTTATATAAAAACTTTTCAGCATATAAATTCAACATTTAGTTTTTTCCTCTTGCGTTAAACCTTAACGAATTTGTGAGTCCTCTCCTCGGCAAGACCCCCGCGTGCTAACATCCGGGCCAATGAGAGTGATTATAAGCTGATAGAACTTTATATATTTGCAAATAAAACTTATATTTACTGTTTACTTGGAAGTAACATGCAGTCGCCACAACTCAACTAATAATTTCACAGGTGTTACTTTCAAATCCGACAGCAAATGTATAGCGAGGTCGAATGTCAGAACACAGCTTATTAATAAGTAAATGCAATAAATACGATGGCAAATTGTAATTTGAACTAAAAATCATCAACGAAACTAGGGGAAAATATTTACAAAGGAAAGATTTACAATGAGACGATTACAAAGTACAAGTAGAATAAGCCCAGGTGTTCCCGAAGGGTCAGCGTTTTCTGCTTCATCGACGAGACCCGACATGTCAATATGGGTTAAATTCAAGTTATATCACGTTCTTGTAGGGAAAACCGGTGTGGTGACGGCGAAATCACAAAGCACAATAATAAATGCCATAAATCAAAGTACTGAAAGTACTTCAGACACATGCTTTCTTGATGTTGCAATATTTCAATAGTTATATAATATTTATGGAAAACACAACACAACACAGTCAGTTGAGATGCAGGATCAACACCACTTAAAGCTATTGAAACTGATGTGAACAGATATTTATTCTAACTTAATGTCTGTGTTGGCAATAGTCTGAAATGTATTTTCCCTCCGAGGACCAACCAAAAGTACTGTTTCGAGAGCTTTTGCTATGAATAAAGAGTGGACTTCCGAATGCATAATTATATGACTGTTGCAATATCTCCTTAGCGCCTATTGGTATAGGATGAAACATATATTTCCTATAGACCAGCAGCAGTGCACGTGTCACAAATGTCTTTAGGTCAACTAGGAGTTTGCCATGTGTCATATGTCAGTATACACTTCGTCGGATGCTTATGTAAATGGTAACAGTATGACACTTAAATCAATTCCCCATAACAAACAAAGAAAAATACAAAGTTGTATTATTTGTATTACTTATTAGCTATAGTGTAATCGCTGTATTCCCCAAGTGGAGTACATATTCCACCAATGCTCTGATGATACAAAGTTCAACAGGATACATGTACATTTCACTGATTGGTGTATTCCGTCAGCCTTACCATGATACTTAATTTCAGATATATTACAACAAGGCAAAGTATTGCAAGGCAATTCATAGTTCCCCATCGGTAATGATTTATATATTTAACAAACAGTACGCTTATGTCAGGAAGCATAGGTCACAGTGAGGTAATAGTGACATTATTCTTAAATTTTGAACTCTATCATCACAAGATGTCCTTGTACACCAAATCTGGTTACTCAATTGAAAAAGTATAGAAGATATGTCACGTACAAACGTTTTCAAAAGTGAAGGTCAGAGGTCAAGTCTTAGGTCACAGTGACCTAATTCTTGCACTCTCCATTTCGTCGTTCCAAGATGTCCTTATATACCAAATCTGGTTTCTCCATGTGGAATGGTACAGAAGATATGCCCCGAACAAAAAAATAAAAGTGAAGGTGGCAAGTCAAGTCATAGGTCACAGTGACATCAATCTTGCACTTTGCACTCCGCCATCCAAAGATGTCCTTGTACACTAAATCTGGTTACTCCAGGTGAAATAGTATAGAAGATTTGCCCCGGACAAATATTTTTAAAAGTGAAGTTGGAAAGTCAAGTCATAGGTCACAGTGACGTAATTCTTACACTCGGCACTCCTCCATCCCAAGATGCCCTTGTACCCCAAATCTGGTTACTCAATGGGAAATGGTACAGAAAATATCTCCCAGACAAACTTTTATTTTAAAGTTAAGTTAGAGTGTCAAATCATAGTTCACAGTGACCTTATTGTTGCTTTTGCATTCCTCCATCCCATGATGTCCTTGTACCCCATATCTGGTTACTCCAGGTGAAAAAGTATACAAGACATGCTCCCGTTGAACGTTTTCAAAAGTGAAGGTCAAAGGTCAAGTCATAGGTCACCGTGAACTTGTTCTTACACTCTGCACTCCGTCATCCAAAGATGTCCTTGTACACCAAATCTGGTTTCCAGCTGAAATAGATATGCCCCGGAAAAAAAGTTTTCAAAAGTGAAGGTCAAAAGTCAAGGTATAGGTCACAGTGACCTAATTATGGCACTCTGCACTCTTTCATCCCAAGATGTTATTGTAAACTCAGTCTGGTTACTCCAGGTGAAATGATACAGAAGATATGCCCCGGACAAACATTTTAAAAAGTGAAGGTCAAACGTCAAGTCATAGGTCAAAATGACCCAATTCTTGCAATCGGCATTCCGCCATCCCAATATGTCATTGTCACCAAATCTGGTTACTCCAGATGAAACAGTATATAAGATATGCTCCCGACAAACATTTTCAAAAGTGAATGTCAAAGGTCAAGTCATAGGTCAAAGTGACCTAATTTTTGCACTCCGCATTCCGTCATCCAAAAATGTCTGTACACAAATTTTCTGCTTACTTTGGGTGAAATAGTACAGAAAATATGCCCGGACAAATATTTTCAAAAGTGAAGTTTAAAAGTCCAGTAATAGGTCACAAGGACCTAATTCTTGCACTATGCACTCTCTCATCCCAAGATATCTTTGTACACTCAGTCCGATTACTCCAGGTGAAAGGATGCAGAAGATATGCCCCGGACAAACATTTTCAAAAAAGAAGGTCAAAGGTCAAGTCATAGGTCACAATGACCTTATTATTCTAATCTGCATTCCGCCATCCCAATATGGCATTGTACACCAACTCTGGTCACTCAATGTGAAATAGTATAGAGGATATGCCCCGGACAAATATTTTCAAAAGTGAAGTTCGAACGTCAAGTCGTAGGTCACAGTGACCTCATTTTTGTAATCTGCACTCCGCCACCCCAAGATGTCATTGTACAATAAAACTGGTTACTTCAGGTGAAATAGTATATAAGATTTACCTCGGACAAATATTTTCAAAAGTGAAGTTCAAATGTCCAGCCATAGGTCACAGTGACCTAATTCTGTCGTCCCAAGATGTCTGTGTACACTAAATCTGGTAACTCTTGGTGAAATACATCCTCGATATCCACGGGTTACGCTCATTTTCGCTCTCTAAAACCCAGGTATATGTCATAGCAAAATTGAAGGCTCCGTGTGCAACACCTTGTGGATGAGACGAGAAGACTGCTTGGTCCTTTGATGTACATCAAAAGAATCTCGCGGTCGCGTAACGGTAAAAATGGCAGGCTATGAAGTCGGGCGTCGCTCTTTTGTAATCTTTAAAGGACAAGTATCAGACTAGTAATTGGTCAGATTTTCTTTACCTGACACCAATCAAATAGCTAACCGAGTGCCTTCATTTTTGCTATGACCTATTACAGGGGTGCAGAGAGCGAAAGTGAGCGTAACCCCTGGATATCGAGGATGGATGAAATGGTACAGTAGATATGCCCTGGACAAACATTTTCAAAAGTGAAGGTCAAAGGTCAAGTCATAGGTCACAGTGACCTAATTCGTGCAATCTGCACAATCTGCACTCCGCCAACCGAAGATTTTATTGTACACCAACTCTGGTTACTCAAGCAGAAATAGTATAGAAGATATGTCCCGGGCAAATCTTTTTAAAAGTGAGGTTGGACGGTCAAGTCTTATTTCACAGTGACCTAATTCTTGCAATCTTCGCAATCTGCACTCCGCCATCCAAAGATGTCCTTGTACACATAATCTAGCTATTTGATTGTTGTCAGGTAAAAAACCCTGACCAATCACTCGGCTGATACATGTCATTAAAGGATTACAGAGGAGCGCTGACCGACTTCAAAGCCAATACGTTTTACTGTTACGCGACCGCGAGATTTTTTTGATGTACAAGAAATGATCAAACTAACCTTCTCGTCTCATCCACAAGGCGGTGCACACATAGCCTTCGATTTTGCCATGACATATTCCAGGGGTGCAGAAAGCGAAAGTGAGCGTAACCCCTGGATATCGAGGATGATGATGTCCTTGTACCCCAAATCTGGTTATAGTATAGAAGATATGTCCCGGACAAACCTCTCGGATGGAAGGACAGGTGGCCATGGACAGACGGAGTGCAACCCCCCACCCACCCACCTCTACAAAATCGTGGAAAAATAAACAATTACAATAAAAAAAAAATGAAAAAAATGAACATCAAGTTAGATTTGTAATGCAGCTGTGTACACTTGGATTTTAGTATGAAATAAATTGAAATAATAAAATAATGAAAAAATCTCAAAACATATTTAAAAAAAATAGGTTTCCTTCCATACCTAAATTATTTCTGTTGCTGTTTTTTTCTTAATCCAAATAAAACAACATCTTCAATGAAACATGTCTAACGCAAGATCAGCGAATTAGAGATACACGTAGGCTCCTAGAAATATAAATAGACACGGTTATGATTGTTTATCTGTTCATGATCAAATTTTTATTTCTAAAAGTACATGAACGTTTATTATCATGATATTCAGTTATGGGGTTGTATTGTTCGCCAATACATAACAAAGTACATAAAGATAACAGTTAAAGACCTATATACAAGTAGGGTCGTTTCTACTAGGGCCGTTAATTCATTCAGTAAGGTCGTTTTAACTTTAAACCCAACATGCAAACTGATAACTCATCAAAACTGTAAGTATATTTGAAGAAAAAACCCATTAATTACATGAACTTTAAAACAAATAAATTATTAATGCAAAAAAATAAGCCAAATGAGTCTTGTGGTTACGCGTTCCTAATACTTAATATAAGTGAAACTGGCAGTAAGTACCACCACTTTCACAAGATCAGATATCGTTCAAAGACTTGCAAGTTGGAGCGAAACGAAAAGGTCTGGGGCGAAACGGTTTTGGGGCGAAACGTCTGTAATTCCGTGGAACTCTTTTGTAAACAACACGGCTGATCCGTCAAAACTCAACACGTGTTCTCGTCTTCGAAGAATGTATGTCCAGTCCGAGGAAAATAAGTAAAGAGGTGGAACGTAAGTTTGACTAATTTAGCAAACCAGAGACGTATATACTCTGAGCAAACCAATTCCAAACAAATGTAGCTTTCCTTGTACCAGTAATCACATATAACATGTGTATGGCTCAGTCTTTAGACATACCGGTATCAGGTGAGCTGTTTCGTGCCAGGCAAAGGTGCTGGGCACATATATAATACTAATGCATATTTATACACAGCACGTAAGTGTGTCCAGCATCTGTGATTAGACTCACTAGATTCGTATATAATCCACCAGATCTGCACATACAACCGTACAATGTAGCACTATACCGGCATGAGTATGGACCAGTGATGTGTAGTGGACTACACATCCCTGGTATGGACAAACTGGATTTAGCAACGTACAGTAACAAACCATTTATGTCGAAACGACCCGGATCGCCCTAATTGTAGGAAAAGTGTTGTGGGCTCATCATTTTCCTCAAAAAATATAGAATTTACAAATGAAAAAAACCCCGCTATACATGCAGGTCTAGTGCACTATGCCAACTGAGCTATAGATGAAAAAACTTAAATAGCTATATCCACCTTACATGTACCTCTTTATAGCTGTATCCATGGAATTTAGTCCGTGCTGTATCAAGCTATATTTTCTAAGATTTCAGTTATAATAAAAACCTCATGCAAAGCTACAGAAAAACATAGGTATTTGACTACAAAAAGCGTCAAGTTAGAGGTATATTTTGTATTAGTCCCCCACCAGTTCCTGGGACGGGATGACTATAGATTTGCTTTCTATCCATCCCTCCAAAGAGTTTGTCTGGGGTGTATCTTTTTAATACAAATATTCGGGTGGTCAGGTGGTGCAGTGGCAGCAAAATTATGCATGCTATTTGTAATATCTGGTTTGCGCGGGCTTTTACCTGTACCGTTACAGTATAATTAACTTTGTCACCATTGGTTTTGCTGTATCATATATATATATAACTTTTATGGTTCAAATTTCAAATAAATGGTAGGTCAGGTGGCGCAGTTAGGCTAGTGCACTTGCCTTTCACCAAGGCTTTATGACGTAATAATTAAGCCCGTGGTGGGGTTCATTCGGCCATCCAATCTATGAATCTGCTCCATAGAAAACAAGGTTTTGAGATCATACTACCCAGGTATCTTAACTCAAGGCCAAATTCCCTGAATAGTTACAGACGTGGTAGGCTTAGGAATTATTATAAGATAAAATGCAATATGCCTTAATACACCAACATACCCTGTCTCCGGCACACATACCTGGTACACACATGCACGCTTACACAACATACATGGAGGAACGTCCTTAAACTATCTCAGCTGTTAAGATGACAATTACCGTTTCACCCCTATGCAACTCTTTAGTAGACTCTCCCATGCATTGATCTGGAGGAGTCTATTATGATCTACAGTGGTGAAAGGGTTAAACAAAATTAAACCATAAACCATAATCTCACTCATAAAATGTTTTGAATTTTTATTCCAGATAATTTAATGACAGACTCGACTTAGACATGGCAGCATTCAGATCACCCCCTCAGTTCAATGGAGGATTAAGGAAGTGGTATCGGAGATTCAACGCTTCTGCCAAGGAGTCGTGTGATCTGTGCTGGAAAAGATCCCTTAATTTTCGACTATTTTCACGAGTACAAGTAATTAATATACAAAGGGATGAAGAAGTGACCAAACCATCTGCACTTAATAATCATGGGTTCCCTAAAGCTACTGAAAAACAGCAGTGTTCTAAAGTCAAAGGACTTTATTTGAGTCATAATTTAGAAAACTGTACAGTTGACTTGGCTAGGCCTACACAGCTGCATGTTTTCGGCACACACATAACAAAGACATCAGTGCTGGTCATTCCATTCAATAGTTTACAAAGAACTGCATGTAGCTCAAAGTTAAATCACAAACCTTTCCGTTGTTTGAGACATTATTTTACTGATGAGTTCAAAGGGCAAAGAGATGAGACTGAAGAGGTTATGGAGGTCAAAGGTCATAGTGGAAGTGCTGATTCTGGTTCACCAAACTCCAATGAAATTGATGAGTTCAAAGGGCATAAAGAGGAGGCTGGAGAAGTGATGGAGGTCAAAGGTCATAGTGGAAGTGCTGATTCTGGTTCATTTGACATAAGTGATGTTGTTGTTGTTGATGAGATTGGTGAGTTAGCAGGCGTGAGAAATGATCAAAAACCTTCTGACATTTATGAGGATGGTACTTCAGCAAAAGACGGTCAACTCATCAGTAGCTCACATCCTATACCACCAATAAAGGTGGACTCCTATAATTTGGCCCCCTTTGTAGCCAAGTCCGATGTGCTCAGATTTCTGTTGCATTTGAAAGTGAATCTGGCAAAGATTGAATCAAAACCAAACGTTGCAAATAGCCTTGTAAAGCTTAACATGGAGCAGGACGTCGTACCTACCATGCTATTCTTAAAGGATGCTGGCATACCAGACGCCAAATTAGGAAAAGTTATTGGCATTCATCCTTACATTTTTGAGGAAATCGATAAAGCAAAGGTAACAATTTTGTTTTTGATAACCCCTTGCGAAAAATTAATTCATAGCCATGACACAGCAATATATATATGCCGTTTTTTAGTGGTTTTAATTTTCTTGGAAACGTCAAAAGGAACACTTCCGCAAAAATTTGATTTACAAAATCAACATTTATGAAAACGATTGATGGATAACAGGACTGACAGATGTACCATTTTTTCTATTTCACCTCATTTTTACACATCAAAAAACCTATTCTTAATGAAATTATTTTTACTGAAAATTCCATAAAAAAAGACTTAATTTTGTAGTAGAATTCCTGTACCTAACCCTGATCCGGCTAAAAACTTAGGGGACAGATTGACTTTTTTCTAGACAAAACTCTCCTAGTCATCCAGATTTCTCACATTCTAGCCAAATTTTCTGTAAACAATTGGCAAGATTATTGAGGCTGCACTGTTTTATATTTCACAGCTAGTTGTAGAGTTCTTACAATTAAAGAAATTCAAGAAAGAGACCATTGCACATATGATCGTCGGAGCACCACCCATTCTGGGACTGAAGGTTCTTACAATTGACGAGAGGATCGGGACATACCAAAAATTCTTCAATCTCACTGGTATGTTTGGTGGACATTGTACTGTATAGCACTTTAATCTCGCAGGATCAAACTTTTGAGTTTTAAGCTCACCTGGTTCAAAGGACTGGTGAGCTTATGCCGTGGCATGGCATCCATCGTCAGTTCGTTCGTTCGTCAGTCAACTTTTCCTTTAACTCATTCATCCCCTGAAATTTCAAAATGAACTATTCCATCCTTTCAATTGGAAGAGTTCAAATGTGTCTTCAAGGGTGAATGAGTTAAAAGCTACTTGACCTGAACGGCCTAAAGTGGCTAAATGTGTAAATCTTAAAGTCCTACTACTAATGTACAATTGGAGGGATTTTAACCAAATTTTGTGTTTAGCATCCGGGATCCTTGGGCAGAGGAAATGGAAGACTCAATTTTTGATAAAAAGAGTGTGTGCCAACTGCCAACTCCTTTCTGATTATAATCATTGATTACAAATTCCATAATCGAAATATACAACGTTTGTACTTTAATATCTAAATGTACTCTTTACAGGTGACCAGGCGAGGGATGTGATGGCCAGGGTGCCACGATTACTTCTCAATCGTCCCAACGAATTAAAGGTAAAGATATACAAGATTTAACTTTGATCAGTAAAATTGTTGTGTCATGTGTGATGTTCCCAGGTATTTCCTCTATGCAAGACCGTCTTTTCACAGAAATTACTTCACATGTACAGGAAGATCGTAATGTCTCCAGAAGAACTTAGGAAACAGGATGAAATGTGATGTTTATGACCTCCATTGTTCCTCTAGATGTGCATGCTCCAGTAATGACTAGATCAGAAAATTTAGCCCTGCCCCTCAGAGATCGTAATACAAGTTGGTTTGGTTGATTTGAAGAGATATTGAGGACAGACTAGAGCCAGTATTTGGCTTGATCTCTCTCTGTAATGCTTCAAAAATCAGCGACAAAATGTGTTTTTTATTAATTAATCACCAGAACAAGAAATTGGTCTTGAACACAGAGTCTGAGTTTGAGCACGAGAATGGTTTCATGAATATGGGCCCTGAAAACTAATTAATTAGAACAATTTTACTATTAAATTCGATCATAAACTGTTTACAATAGCAAGCCTGTGTGTTACATGTGTATCCATCACATTTTTTTCACACTTTTTGGAAAATGTTATAAGTTATTTCCCTTTCAATTTATGGACAATCAATGACCAATCATCAATTATTTGAGAAATGGTGATGATCGTCATGAAGTTTGAAGCAATTCAAAACACTTTCTTTTTTGAATATTTTGATAATTAATATAAACTTTTTTCATTCTGCAACAATTATGAGGCAAGTTCCATTACCGGTTATCATTCGTTTATCCAGATGTTTGCGTCTTTATGTGAGAGGGAACCGGAGTACCCAGAGAAAACCCAAGTGGTTCAGCAAATGACCCCCATACCTTTTCACGTCTGACTGGGGAATCAAACCCCAGCCATCTTGGTGAAAGGCGAGTGTGTCAACCACTGTGCCATCCGACCACTTACATTAACCCTTTCACCTCTATGTAACTTTAGTAGACTCTACCATGCATTGATCTGGATGAGTCCATTATGGTCTACAGTGGTGAAAGGGTTAATTATCTAGTAAAACCTGCTTGCGGGACATTACAAAAGACTGTTTACAACAGATGGCTTCTCAGCAGATATGACCAGTTAGCAGTTATGATTGTTCTTGGGAATATTAACTCATTCATCCCTAAAAACACATTAGAACTCTTTCAATTAATAGGCTGGAATAGTTCATGATGAAATTTCAGGGTTGAATGATTGAGTTATAAAGGAATCTCAGGACTTTATGTAATTTTAATCTCTCTTTTTTTTCTTTCAGGAAACAATAGAGGTGTTTAGAGGCTACGAGTTTTCAGATCAACAGTTGAAAAAAATTCTTCTCAAGTGTCCGTCAGTCTTCAAAAGTAAGTTTTATCAAGATGTAAGTTGCGAAGGGTTGGTGATTCATTGTTTGTACTTAATTAACTCATTTACCCCTGACATTTCATAATGAACTATTCCATCCTTTGGTTTGGAAGAGTTCAAATGTGTCTTCAGGGGTGAATGGGTTAATACAGGGGTGAGTTGTGGATCCCATAGCTTACTGGCCACCATACAACTACACTTTGTTGCTGCTTTTAAACAAGTGAAGCAGTAATCTTGTTTTAACCTCATAATATTTCAACAATTTCATAGAATTTGAAAATGTACTGTGTACAGCTGAGGCAGGTTTGAATTGTACATAGGATTACGCTCACCTTCTAGCCTCGCTCTAGAGGGAATTTTCTCTTCAGCTCATTGGTAGAGCATCTGACTAGAGTCTGTGATCCCGGGTTCGACCCCCAGTGGAATCACACTACTCTCTTTCCTTTAAACAAATGGTGACTGAGGCCCTTCCTGTGGTGACAGGGAGTTAGAACCTGTGTTGTTGTAGTGTTTAAGGGTGAACTCATTTAAAAAGGGGGGGGGGAGGGGAGTAGTGTGGCTGATTTTAATTGTAAATAGGATTACGGTCGAGCAAAAGAGCTTTTACAGAAATAGAAATTGAGGGTTGAGGGGGAGTATTGTTGCTAGGCAAAGTACACACTATAAAACTGAACGGGAACTATGCATAAATGTATAAACTTAGTAACTAAGTCAGGCATAAATTTCGTTGTTATTACATGATCATAATTATACACGTACAATGTATATACTTTTGTGTGGCATCATTTTTGATTGAAACAAAGTTCATATAATTTTCACACTTTCGTTGAGTAAATTCTTTCGAGTTGTAGAAATATTCGTTGTATTTATAACCACCAAATACAACGAAAGTTTATACACAACGAACATTTCATGTTATACAGTAAATTATGCCATGAGAATATTGAGCGGTCTTTACGCAACACCTTGGAAATAACACAAGGGTACACAAGACATGTATCAGCCTAAGGGTTGGTCAGTTTTATTTACCTGAAGCCAGTCCAGATAGCTTACTGCAAGTTTTCGATTCTGTCATGACGTATTCCAGGGGTGCAGAGAAAAAAACCTGTATCAAAAGGGATACCTCAAGATCTTGAGCATGCCTTCAGATTACTTTATACTTTTCAGGACCAAAGGAGACCAATTTGGAGCATCGTCTGGAATACTTACTGACAGATATCCCGATGGATCAGAACACCATTGCCGAGTTTGGCTATATCCTCCTGTACCCATCTAACCCCATCAAGGAGCGCCATCAGTTCTTGCTGGAGCTTGGCCGCGCCCAGTATGATCCCACGAAGGAAAGTTACATCTCTCCAACAGATTTAGTGTGTACACCAGAGTTGAAATTCTGCAAGCTTGCCAGAACAACCCCAGCAGTATTTAAGGCGTTCAAAAAGACCCTGTAGACATGGAACAATTTTATTGTATTGTTGTATGTGTACCTTTGTGAGAAACATACAGGGAGTGTAGTGGGATTTAAAACAATTTTTGAAGAAATTTAACAATACTTGTTGAAAAATGGCCTTGACCTACATTCAAGGTCGAATTGTCAGAACTTAAAAACTGCTTCCAAAACAAAAAGCCCTAGATATATACTTGTACTACAAAGTTTGCAAGAAGAAATGACCTCGACTTGTTTTGAAGTTACAAGGGTTTAAATGCTCAAACATCTTCTTCTAAAGAACTTAAAGGCCTAGTGTCACTTGGACACTTATTTGATGCATTTATAATTCCAGGATAGTAACAATGGTTAAATTAAAAGCTTTGCATTTAAAGGTTCCGAGTCCGAACTCTGCAGTTTTTCTAAGCCATTTCTATAAAATATACAATTTCGTCACATCATTGTACAGGTAAACAATACAAATCGCTCGCCGAGTCATAGCTGGACAAAAGGACCAGTCGTTCCTGAAGCGTTGCGACATGTTTAATACGAACAAGAATTGTGTATAAAGTAAAACTTTGATATTGCATATTTCCAAACTGATGAATCTTATTGAAGATAATATGTATATTGGGTACATTAGGGTGGACATCTTATTGTTTTCAAATACAAATTTCCTGTTGATGTCTGTAGGGCTCCCAGAACCTCCTGTTATTACTATCAGCAAAGAACATAGTACTTTGTATGTTTTATATATTATTGCATTTGACATAGGAGAAAAGTACAATTCATAAATGAAGCAAACAACTTGTATCTTTCCATTGTTTTATTTGTAATAAATATATCATGATTCTTCACGCAACATTTGTAACCATGGTTACCATGAATTACCTGGTACTCTCGGTATGTCTTGGAGGGCTAGTCTAGATACAATAATATGGAGAGGAGGTGGGGGTGGTGGGTACAGGACATCTATACCTTATACTTGGTAACCATAGGTACCATGAATTACCTGGTACTCTCGGTATGTCTTGGAGGGCTAGTCTAGATACAATTATATGGGGGGAGGTGGGGTAGCGGGTACAGGACATCTATACCTTATACTTGGTAATATAAGGATAGTAGTGTCAAAATATTTCTTACCTTTTGCATAGTAGGCCCCAAGAAAAAATATTGATAAGGGGTAAAAATAACATCCCTCTCCCCATATATTAGAGAATCGAGAATACCACAAGTACAAATGACCGGAAAGCCAGTTTCCTGGGATTAAATAAATGTACAATATTAAGCCAGTTCCCTGGGTTAAACAAAAACAAACATCCACTGCATATTTATTTAGGAAAACGTAAAATTGTATAGTTTGGTATTTGTTAATGTTTCTTTCATTTTCCGAAATCTTAACATTTCAAAATCTAGTACCAGTAACACATTCCTTAGCTAAAGTTATGATGTCTTCATAACTTAAGCAATGCTTGTGATACCCATTTTACATTTCGTGACAAAAGCATAGCTGTCAACCCTCCCTCATTTCGACCAAAATTTACCAATCTCCCTCGAAATCTCTCATTCGAGTCCAAACTACCAAAATCAAAATCTACATCCTGTGGTCAAATGGTCTAGTTACTACAGGGTGTGTGTAATGATCATAACAGGTGTGTCTGAATCAAATGTATGCTATTTTGAGCTTTTTGATACATAAAAAGGGAAAGATAAATTGAGCAAAGCAGTTTAAGTCGTGTTTCATGCGCTTTCCCCCTCATTGGACATTTGAGGTTTCAGAGGTTGACACCTATGCAAAAGTATCCTTCTAATATGGTTATTATACCATACAAGGATTTCGTGACTGCTGCTCGTAAGGGAGGCAACTCATGATTTCAATAACTTTATGTTCTGTATCATACCACTAGCAATTAGGAATTAAATTATCGTAACGATGAACAGAATGTTTACGATAATGTTGGATACATGTTTTGACGTAAAGCAACAGTCGTAAATACATGAAGTATGTACCAATGCCTCCACCACTTTGCTCATTCACCCCTTCATACTTAAACTGGACTTGTCCAGTCTTTGATTTGGTAAGGTTTAAATGTGACTTAGGGGTTAATGATATGTACATACCAAATGGTACATAGTTTGTTATAGAAAGTGTTTTTCTTAATCAAACCAAAAGCAAATGACAACTTTCAGTTTGCACTATAAGAGACAATTAACACACAATTAATCCAAAACCATCTTAAACAGCTCTGCTAAAAAATGGTTTCCTAGCAAAATATTTGCAATCATCTCATATGATTACTTAAATGTTTTTCAATTTTGCCTATTTCAATAAAATAACAATTTTTGTACATAATAGTCCATAAATAAATAAATGTATTTTGTACAAACTATTAACAAATATACTTTTTCTTTAACTTATCTTTAAGTTCACAACATAATTTAAAACACGGTTGTTATGATGAGTACTATTCCAGTAAAAATATTGTCCTGACCTCAAAATGAATCACTTCTATTCATGGTTTGGTTTTCTGAAAATTACCTTTACGCAAATTATTGATTAAATTCTTTGGGTATCAACACTGGGAGGACTTGGTCCATGTGAAGGAAAATGTAAGTAATTCAGTACTTCCCAAAAGTTTTGATATTTCAAAAACATATTTTTGGCACTTGGACCAATGTTTCAGTCTGTACTGTTAGAGAGATAGATATATTTCTTTTCCAATACAACAACCGTTGAGTGAAGTTTGATAACTGTATACCGGGAAACTTTTTCGCAGTGGAACGTTTACGCTTCACAAGTAAAATTCATGTTCACCCGGTGTTATTTTCGCCCTTCTCGTGTAATAACTATATCTAGTATGGTGTGTATCAATTTTACTGTCATGATAAACTCACCCTCATTACAGAGGGTAAAACACAGGCGAAAGAGAAACTTGGGTTAATATTTCTCTATATTCAGTAACAGGATAATACAGGTAATATGGAAGACATCTTGTTTTCATTTCACACGGGAGGATATTTCTTGTACATAATTGGACAAGTAAATAAAAATTAACAAAAATATATTGCAAACATACTGCACACTCAAATTGCAAAACAATTTAGTTTAACGTCCGACAGTTGGTAAAAGCACAGACTTAATCTAATTCCTAGTAAAAGACGATGAACACGCTCTACTTGCTCTAATATGAAACAGGATATTCATCACGATACCAGTCAACCATTCAGAATGACCGAGACAAAAATACTATTTAACTAGAGGTGTTTTCTGATAGATTACAAAATGGGCTTTCATCACTATTTATAGCTTCATACATGCCAGATGAATTCAGGAACTTGTGAGATAAAATTTCCTTCATCTTCCTGTCCTATGAGCTCAACTCTTGAACGTCTGGCCTATGGGTTGAATTTATGACATGTGGTTTGAACTTGTGACCTTTGGTTTGAACTTGTGATCTATGGGTTAAACTTGCAACCAGTGGGTTAAATTTATGACTTGTGGTTTAACCTTACGACCTGTTGGTTGAACTTCTGGCATATGGGATGAACTTATGACCTATGGATTGAACTTATGGCCTGTTGGCTGAAGCTTTGACTTGTAATTTGAACTTTTGACCAAAGGTTTGAACTTAAGACTTGTGGATTGAACTTATGACCCATGAGTTGAATTTATTATGGCCTATGGATTAAACTTATGACCTGTGAACATGACCTTTGCGTTGATCTGTTGGTCAAAAGTTGTATACCGACATGTAGAGGCAAAGGACAAGGACTTAACTAGGCTAAACTGATCTAACAGTTAGCGTTATTTTGTACATGTAGCGGGGTAGGTGGGCGGGTAATTATCTTTTCTAGAAAGACAAAGCATTGAGAAATTTTCATTGTTCGCTTAACTCACCTTTTTTTTTTATTCAAGCAATCAACACAGACGGAAAAGTAAGGAATCTATCGTCAATCAAAATAAGTAGCATCTGACCCTTTTCATTTGATATGGCAGGAATATTTGATGTCTGTCAATGATCTCTACAATGTATTCACCTCACAATGGTTCATGCAAACACTTCCTCACAAGTTCCGATCTTTTTCCATCGAATGGGAAAAGTTGGGAAACATCTATTGTTTTGAACATTTCATATCCAATCATGAATTCACCCAATTCTGAATGAGGATATTTTTCAGGACTTTTTTGCATTTGGTAAAGCCTGAATGAGTTCATACTCCACTGCTTTTTCCAAAGCTGTTTTCACACAATCACGGGCCTGGAGGCGGGTGGGGTCTTCTAAAATACTGAGAGCCATTAGTATTTCCAGCATCTGTCCCTCGACAAGCTTGGCAGCAATGTCTTTATCGGCACACATCAAGTTCATTACAATGTAGCAGCCCCTGTGTTGGACTTCAATGGACTCCTCGACCACCAGACTCTGGAGGATCTCGTACCAGGATTGAACCTGAAACCACATTTAAACAAGAACTGTTAGTCCAAAGACCCAACACCAGTGTTCCAAAGTCTGAGACGAACAAATTATTGATACATCGATTTTAGTTGTACAGAAGAGTTTTTTTGACTTGGAGTATCCGGGATACTGTAAGAAAGGAGTTGAAACGGTTGAACCTGGAAAAAAATGACAGGCACAGATCTGAACCGAGGCTGACCTCAGGAATATTTAGTACGTGTAGATTGAGGGGTCCAGGTGTACCTGACTGAAACTAAACTGCTGATTATTGCTAGTTTGCATTATTATTTTCTAAAACAATGTCAAGCCACATGTAGTTTTTAAGATACGTTATGTAATTCTGTGGACGCATGAAAGAATGGCATAATATTCTTGTTACATCGCTAGTTATTCTCCGAAACTCTGCAATATTAACTCTGCTTATAGAACAGTCCAAGTACATTCGTTTATCGTGGAATATTTCTGTGCCACCTGTGACGTTTCAACCGGGATACGCGAATGTAACCTAGTACTCTATGTTTGAAGTTTTACACCCCTGGCTCAGGCCTGTTCTCCTACAAGTTAACTCATTCACCCCTGAAATTTCATAATGAACTATTCCAACCTTTAAATTGGAAGAGTTCAAATGTGTCTTTAGGGCGGAATGAGTTAAACCAGCAGCTTGGACTCCTTGCAAAAGGGTTATAATAGAAGTAGCACCTACCTGTGAAACTTTTTTACAGACGATTGGACTGTGTGTGAGTATGGCTAGAGCACCTGATGCAGCCTTCACAACAAGCGGGTCTTCATCCGCACAATACAGCGTCATCAGCTTGGTTCTGTCATTTTCCTTCTCGTACATCTTCACTACCTGTGTATAGTACAATATTAAATGTTATTTCCTGTGTACAGTACAATATAATAAGGCACTACCTGTGTACAGTACAATATATATAAGTCACTACCTGTGTACAGTACAATATTAAACGTTATTTCCTGTGTACAGTAAAATATATACAAGTCACTACCTGTGTACAGTACAATATTAAACGTCATTTCCTGTGTACAGTAAAATATATACAAGTCACTACCTGTGCACAGTACAATATTAAACGTTATTTCCTGTGTAAAGTAAAATATATACAAGTCACTACCTGTGCACAGTACAATATTAAACGTTATTTCCTGTGTAAAGTAAAATATATACAAGTCACTACCTGTGCACAGTACAATATTAAACGTTATTTCCTGTGTACAGAAAAATATAATAAGTCACTACCTGTGTACAGCACAATACTAAACATCACTCCCTGTGTTCAGTACAATATTACAAGTCACTACCTTTGTACAGTACTATATAACAAGTCGCTAACTGTGTACAGTAAAATATTACACATCACTTCCTGTGTACAGTACAATATTACACGTCACTACCTGTGTACAGTACAATAGTGCACATCACTTCCTGTGTACAGTACAATATTACACGTCACTACCTGTGTACAGTACAATACTAAACATCACTCCCTGTGTACAGTACAATATTGCACATCACTACCTGTGTACAGTACAAGATTACAAGTCACTACCTGTGTACAGTACTATATAACAAGTCGCTCCCTGTGTACAGTAAAATATTACACATCACTTCCTGTGTACAGTACAATATAATAGGGCACTACCTGTGTACAGTACAATAGTACTTATCACTCCCTGTGTACAGTACAATATTACAAGTTACTACCTGTGTACAGTACAATATTACACATCACTACCTGTGGACAGTACAATATTACAAGTCACTACCTTTGTACAGTACTATATAACAAGTCGCTACCGGTGTACAGTAAAATATTACACATCACTTCCTGTGTACAGTACAATATTACACGTCACTACCTGTGTACAGTACAATAGTGCACATCACTTCCTGTGTACAGTACAATATGACAAGTCACTACCTGTGTACAGTACAAGATTACAAGTCACTACCTGTGTACAGTACAATATTACAAGTTAATACCTGTGTACATTACAATATTACAAGTCACTACCTGAGTACAATATTACAAGTCACTACCTGTGTACAGTACTATATAACAAGTCGCTACCTGTGTACAGTAAAATATTACACATCACTTCCTGTGTACAGTACAATATTACAAGTCACTACCTGTGTACAGTACAATATTACACATCACTACCTGTGTACAGTAAAATATTACACATCACTACAATATTACAAGTTAATACCTGTGTCACTACCACTACCTGTGTATAATACATTACAAGCAACTTACAGGTATTGGGGACCTACATTTTTTTTAGCCTTAAATATGTACACAAGAATTTATATCTCTCTCATCCAAAACCTGTTAACAAGAACCTACATCTGTTAGCTAAAACCTTCAAACAAAAGGCTATGTTTCTCTACAATAGTCAAATCCTGTACCAGACATTTACTGAACTTACATCCTCATTCATCACCATGTTACACATGCATTCTGTGGCCGCTCGTGACAACATTTCATGTTCCTCCGTCATGTAGTTCTCAATTATGGGAACACCTTTCTCCGCAACAATACGCTTTCTGGAAAATGAAATTATCACAGATCTGAGTTACCAAAACATTTAACAATACAGCATTTCTGTTATACCTATATCATTTAAAGGTATATTCTTGTAATTTTTTATCAATATTCAACGATGTTAAAAGATACAAGGGCTGTAACGACATGCATACCTTATGCTACGATACATATTGGGGTACGATGCTTACGATATGATATGTATCAGTCACGATACATTAAAAATATTGAAATATATTTTTGAATAATTTTTAGTACTTTTGGATATGACTGCACAGTAGACCACATCTTTACTGAAGGATTAAATAAATATATAATTACACTTTTTTAGAGTTTAATCAAAATTGATTGATAATTTAGAACACTTTTTAGCGTTTGATCAAAATTGATTGATAATTAAGTACACATTTTTAGAGTTTGATCAAAATTGATTGATAATTTAAGTACTGTTAGTGTATCGCCATACATGCAAACAAAACAATTTGGTATGATACACAAGAAAGTATCGCAATACGATACAATATATCGTTGCAGCCCTACAAGACACCAAGCTACTCGCCATAAATACTACAATATGTAGACTACTAGTAGTAAAACCTAAATTCAAACATCATTCCTAGTGGAACAACTTCAAATCAATCAAAAAGTAAAAGTACTTTCGTTTTTATAAGTATTGACAGTTCACATCAAGATTTGGAAAATTTCTTAGGCTTGGTCACTTAACAGACACAAATACGTATACTGTAAACCAGGAAATTTTGGGGCAATGCAAATATTTTACCCTTCATAATGAGGGCGAATCGATTTTGACAGCGAATATTAATACCAAACATACCATACAGTGGTTACATGTGAGGGAAAAATTAACACTGGGCAAATAATTATTTTACTTGTGAAAGGTGAACATTTGACAGGCAAACATCTACTGGTACACAGTAGTAAATGGCCTTGGTACAGTTTACCACTCATCAAGGTGAGATTTCTAGAGGTTTAATGAAGGGGAGACAACCAGCATGCTTGCATCTACACTGACCTGAGAGAGTCGCTGATTGAGGACAGGTTTGTAAGAGCCATCAGACCTTCAAAGTTCTGTAGCGCAGTACAGTCAATATGGAGGAGATTCAACAAAGGCCGGACAAGCTCGTACATCTGTTAAACACAAAAGTACCATTATAAGTACTTACTGTTACATCTGTAACAATAAAATGTTTTCATTTTTCAAGCTCCTACATCTGTTAAACACAGTTACTGATTAGAACAATAAAATGTTTTCATGTTGTAGCGATGCTTTTTTAGCTAATGGAACATAGAGGATATTTCATGGGTTCTCGTTGAAAACCATATATATTTTAAGAGTATGGTAGAATAAAGATATTTTTCACAAGTGTAAAGATCATGGTTGCTATGCACTATGAAAATATTGATAATTCTGCCATACAAGTTACATATATCTGGTATTCAATGGACAAACAATTAGATTTTCCATCCATTACATTATTAAAATAAACAACAAAAATACTGCTGCATCCAAAATGTGTGGGAATTAGCAACATAATATTTCACACCAGTTTCTTATGACATCACACTCGACAACAAGGCTTTGGAGTTGGCTACTAAAAGCAATTTTACCATTTTCATGCAGCCATTTCAGGTACGATTTTCTTACAAAATGTTTATCTTTTATGTATAGGTTTATAACTCTGTGTATATACCAATGACGTACAAAGACAATCTCTTATTCTACTGTCGCTTCATCTGCAGCTGGACAGAAAATCTGGGACTTTGAATGTGGTAAATAGAAAATGCCATTCACATATAATAAAAGGTCTTTAAAAAAAATTGCTTACCCGTTGGCCAGGGAAGGTGGTTTCTGGGTTCATTGTTATGGTAATTTTGGCGAGTGCTTGGGCTGCCAGGGGCTGGCCCTTGTCCGTGTTGTTCTCCATGGCCAGACTCCGCAATGCCTGTATAGAAATATCATGGCTGAAGTGACAGGCTAAAACAGACTTAATATCCTAAAGCACTCTAAGATGTCTTTTTGATACAAAAATGCCCTAAATATTTATAATCATCAAAAAAAAACTTAAAACATCCCTTAAATGTTAAAATCCCCTTTTATTTTCCAAATATCTTAAAACATCCCAAAAATACCAAAACACACTTAATATATCCCTAATATCTTCAAACACTCAAAAATATCCGGATACATGTACTGCTAATGTACATATTTTAGCGGTAGCTTATTTTAGTGCTTTTTCAAGCTTTAATTGTTGTGCTTAATCATGAATGCGCCAATAGAAGTTCTTGTATATTGTTCTCTATTCAGGATGCACAAACACATCAATGCGCTTAACTTTTTAAATTTGATAATGCGCCACAATTTGAGTATGCTTAGATAAGTTCATTTAAAGTAATCTTAAAATACCCATATAAATAACCCTGATATTTTCAAACACTCAAAAATATCCTGATTGTCCTAAAACACCCTTAAAATATTTCTCATGCTCTGCCAATTGTAGGTGAACAAGAATACAGGATAAGCCACATACAATGTGACAAACTGTGTACAAAGGCCAGATAACACAGTAGGGTGGGGCAAGAGACTTGATGTCCACATGTAGCACTTAATCATCCAAAGAGATACTTACCGGTACATACCAAATTTGGCAAATACAGGTGAGTACATGAGCTATGCCCTATACCAAGTGATGAATGGAGGGATGGGAGATCAGATTCTTGAGATAGCACACATAATGCATCCTCGATATCTACGGGTTATGCACACTTTCACTTTCTGCCCCCCCCCCCCCCCCCCCCCTGGAATATGTCATAGCAAAATTGAAGGCATGTGGCTAGCTATATGATTGGGCTCCGGTATAAAAGAAACCCTGACCAGTCGCTAGGCTGATACCTGTCCTTTGAAGATTACAGAGGAGCGACGCCCGACTTTAAAGCCGGTAAGATTTACTGTAATTAGGTCGCGAGATTGTTTGATGTTCATCAAAGGATAGAACTAGTCTTCTTGTCTCATACACAAGGTGACGCACACTGAGCCTTCCAATTTGTCATGACATATTCCAGGTGCAGAGAGCGAAAGTGAGAGTATCGAGGATGAATATAATGATGACTTTTGGGTGTGACAAAAGAATTTTGTCTTCATCTCGGGATTTTTTTTTTTTTTTAATTTGGAAATGCTTACCTTGACTTTATGAAATGGCCAAAAGAGTTTTTTTCCTACTGTTGACCTTCACCTTTGAATGAGACTGTTGTGATGTTACTTTAATGTTGACCTTTGACCTTGGGAGGAGACTATTGTGACTTTATACTAAAATGCTGACCTTTATCCTTGGGGTCAAGTTCAAAGGAGTTGTTTCTGTAACGTTTACATTTAACCTTGGGTCAAGGACCAAAGATCTTGTTTAAACGTTCACCTTTGACCTTTATGAGTTTAAACTCCTTCATCCCTGAAGACACATTAGAACTCTTCCAATTCAAAGGTTGGAATAATTCATTATGACATTTCAGGGGTGAATGAGTTAATTAAATGTTAACCTTTGACCTCGAGGTTTAGGCCCCAGGGATGTTACTTACCTTAGCTCCCCCCTGTGCCACAACTAAACCCCTCAGATCTTCCTCATTTGTCAGTGACAGGAAAACCCTGTAAAAACAAAAACAATTTCCATTTCACTTTGAATGACCAGCTAAATTTTACATTTTTTTTGTTAGTTTTTGTGATGAGATAGAATGTCATCTCAGCATGAAACTTAATTGATTAAATTAACATACTGTACACCAAATAATTTAAGGGGCAGTGTCATTTTGCACATTCCACAGAATGAATAAATAATGCAGTGAAAAGTCAATTTCCAAGTATTATTGTAGGATCTAGTTGCAGACTAAATATAAGCAGCAATAAAATAGTTCACTTCAATGACATAAGAAGGTTACAGCCAATTAAAATTGCCCACTGCTCACTGTTCACGTTATATTCACTGTTAACTGTTGAAATGTTGATACAGACACATTCAAATGTTTCATCTTTTTTCATTACCATGTCAGTATTTCACCGTGAAAAAAAAAAAAGTTTAAACGTTTCACTTTTGCAAATTTGATAACTTATACTGCACAAATATCCAGATCCTGACCAGAAAAATGAAAATATACACCGGAAAGAATTCACAGCTGTATATAGTGTGGCCAACAAGAGACCATCTAAAACCTAGGGTTAGGGTTACCCTACAACCCTACAACCCTAACCCGACCAGTACATGTGAAGGAAATGCCACTGTTTCCGTGGTTACCTTGATAGTTGCTCTCTTGTGTTTTTACTTTCTGCATTACTGAGGGCGACCAGGGCTGTCACCACTCCAGCATTTGCCAAAGCCGTCACACGCTTCTTCACAAACTCCGGCTTGTCCTGCAAGACAAGTCGTCAAAAATGTCAAATTCATGGTTTTGAGATTACCGAAAACAACGTTGATGTGGCTGAAGCTACTCTTTTGAAAAGGTTGTAAGTATACTGTTAACCAAATTTAAAAGCTTTCTTATTATTTTTCAGAGAATACTGACATTAAATATATTTTTCTTAACTCATTCACCCCTGAAATTTTGTAGTGAACTATTCCCAACTTTGAATTGGAAGAGTTCAAATGTGTCTTCAGGGGTGAATAAGTCAATGTTATTTCAAGTACCCGGTACAAATTTTTTAAAATATGAATTCTTCCTGACCTTTTCGTGTTCTTCAGGTACATGCTGTTTGGCGTATTTAGCTAGCTCAATCATTTCCGGAACGATTTCCTTCTGTTCATAGCTGTTAGTGATATTCACAAAAACTGTTGAGGCTGGATAGAGGATATTTTTCTCCGCTTTCTGAAAAATAGAAATAGAATTGTTAGTTTCATAAATATTTAAACAGTAAAATCAATACACTTTTTGTTCTGCATGAACAAATGCGATTGCTGGGATTATACTAAAGTCCAAATTTTCTCTGCCATGACGGCAATTTTTAGCAAGAAATGTGTTTTGTGAACAAAAACATATGTTCCATTATGATATCTTTAACAGTTTAAAAAGTTACAGACCAGAGAAGATGTTCCTACACTTATTTGACCTTTGACTTTGAGGTCATGGTCACAGTGACCTTTTAACGATGCATTGTACACTGTCCATGGGTGGCACAGATTTACTGCAGGTTTCAGCAAGCTATCTTTAACCCTTTCACCCCTATGTAACTTCAGTAGACTCTACCATGCATTGATATGGATGAGTCCATTATGGTCTACAGTGGTGAAACGGTTAACAGTTAAAAAGTTAAAGCTGGGACAAGAAATTATTAGAAGAATCAGAAGAACCAGAAGTAGCAGATAAACCAGTACTAAAATAATATTTCTCCGTTAATTTGAAGGTGAGACATAAATATCAGATGTTAAGATACAATTTAAAAGGAACCACGAATACAAATACAACAACGTTTTCTACCATTCGAAAGAATGTACACAACGAAAATGTGAAAATTGCACACAAAAGTATATACATTGTACGTGTATAATCATGCTCATGTAATAACAACGAAGAAATGTATGCGAAAGAATTAAATACTGAAAATGTTGTGGAGTCTACTTTAGCATATCCAAGGAAAGTGTCATAGAATCTACGGTAAAACACAAATCGATCGGTAATCACGAAACCACGAAAGTTTGTACCCTCGAAATAATTTGAAAGCTCAAAACCACAAAGAAAGTACACACAAACATTTCATGTTAAACAGTATATAAAGATTCTTCCGCAGTGGTGAAATGATCATAGTACCTGGTATTTCCCTAAACATTTGAATTGCAGATCGAGATACCAAGATACCTAAAAGTTTGTATAAACATGATTTTATTGTATCATGTGTTGTTCTCAGAATCGACATGTGTTAGAAGAACTAACTTTTTCTCCAATAATTCAGGATTTTCAATAATTTGTTTGTGTTTAACATTTTTTAACACCTATGATCATTTAAGCACGTGCCAAGTTTTGGTGGTGGAGGAAAACCGCAGTGCCAAAAGAAAAACCACCGACCGGGGGCCAGTACCTGGCGACTGCCCCACATAGGCCTCAAACCCGCAACCCAGTTGTAGGGAGCTACTGACCATATATATGAGACAGTCATATACCTTATTCACTCGACCATTGCGGCCCCCACCTAGTACACAGTAGTTATAATAATTAATCTGTGGTCAAATACCTTAACCACTTGGCCCCCATGGCCCCCATGGCCACCATGGCCCCCACCCAGTATTCAGCAGCGATCATAATGACTCTGCACCGATTCACAATGTATGACATTCACAAACTGAACATTAATTAACTGTATGAGAGGAATTTCACCTAATAATAATTAATGATCCAAGGTTCTTATATACAGTTTTATCACACCTAATTCGTAGATCGTCTCAAAGCGGTTCACAAATTATTATCCGTGGTTATAGGGCCTTTGCAACAAGCCAACTTATTTCTCAACTCCCTGGGGAGCATACAGCCGGTGCTGCTACTTCGGCGCTCACAGCTAACATTCAACAATTCTAGCACTGCCTAACCACGTACAGCAGAGTAAAGTATCCTGCTCAAATATACAACACAGTGCCATGCCGTGACTCGAACCAACAACCCTTCGGTCACAAGCCCTGCGTCCTACCACTTGACTACTGTGTCTCCACAGAATTCAAATAATACAATAAATCTTGAACCATTACTTACAGCTGTGACGTCTACAAGTGACTTTAAGGCGCTTGTGTCGCCGACGAGATCTTCCTTCACATCCGCGTCTAGTGTGAGGAAGGCGAGACCCTCTGTCGCCCATCGTCGCAGATCTACATCCTTATTGGGGTTGTTCAAAAATCTATATAAAAGAAATACAATTTCTACATTTTACCATAAATTTAAATATGGGATAATGCAAACAGCTGTTTTCAATTAAGATTGAAAAAGCTTAAAAAGTTCTGTTTATCCAAGACAAACATAGAATAGGAAGAAAAATTGAAGACTCACAGTAAGCTGCTTAACCGTTTCACCCCTATATATGACTTTAGTAGACTCAACCATGCACTGATCTGGACGAGCCCACCGTGGTCTACAGTGGCGAAAGGGTTAATTGGTTTCAAGTACAAATACCTGACCGATCGCTAGACTGTTAAATCTACAGAGGAGCTACAACCCAACTTCACAGTCTGTCATTTTACCATTTAGCTGCTGAGTGATTCCCCTGATTTTCATCAAGGACATCACATTTGTCAGTCTACTTGAATCATCCGCAAGGTGTCGCATTCAGAGCCTTCAATATTGCTGTGACAATTTCAAACAGTGTAAAGACTGTACGTATATCAGCGATGCAATCTCTGGATTTCGACGATGGTACAGTTGAATTCTGCAAACTTGTACAATCAGTGTTGCCAACTCTCCATTTAATTTAGGAGGGAGACTCCCAAATTTGAACCCTTAAATTAGCATTTTCAACCAGTGAATTTACTAAATTATTCCTATTGATTTCAGCTGAAAGAACAATTCAAAATACCTTGTTTTAAAGGGTTATTTTATCACTAAGGGGGCATATACACACACTTTATTTATGTTTTGATTTTGAGAATGCAGAATCTCGCTTCTGGAAATTTAAAAAAGTTGGCATGTATAAAATTCTCTGCAGAATTTTTTAATACAGGCCGAGATATTTTTTCTGACCATTACAGAGCGAGTAGAAACCAGCAGTATGTCATTAACTTGTTTACCCTTGAAGACACATTTGAACTCTTCCAATTCAAAGGTTGGAATAGTTCATGATTTAATTTCAGGGGTGCATGAGTTAAGGTATTGCAGGTACACGTATAAGTAAGGACCAATTAAAAAGACTGTTACATCAGCTTACCGTCGGCATGACTTGGCCATGGCTAAAGTTGATCCCTCAGCCATTGGCTTATTGCTGGCATCTGTTCCTCCTGATGTCCCCAGCTTACAGAGACCCTAAAAAATAGTTAATAAAAATATATCCGGGCAAACAAAATTATGTTGTGATAACAGCAGTAATTTTTTTCTCAGGGGGGGCAGTGATTTCGCGAAAAATATCACACTCAAAAGCAATCATGGAAAAAAGTAATTTTTGCATTGATTTGGGGAAACTGCCGCAGGAATTATCCAGAGAAAGGGACCTGATATCAGTCAAACATTCACCTTTAAAACATCACATTATCAGCTAGAAGCAATCAATTACAAACTGAAGTTTTACCTCTTCAATGACCAATTTGAAATTCCGATAGGTTTACAGTAATATAACCTTACCACTGAAACTTTGTTTTTACGGATAAAAATCCAGTTTGTTTGTGTTTTACGTCATATTAACAGCTATTGTCATTTAGGGACGTGTCAGGTTTTGGTGGTGGAGGAAAGCTGGAGTTACCGGAGAAAAACCACAGACCAACGGTCAGTACCTGGCAACTGTCCCACGTAGGTCCCAAACCCGTGACCCAGTGGTGGAGGGCTAGTGGTAGCAGAATATCAGACACCTTAACCACTTGGCCACCGCGGCCCCCTTAAAATCCAGGATACCTCAAAGAAGTTAGCTAGACAGAGTTACATACCACCAGGGCTCGCACTTTGATGGAGTCATCTGCGGTTTCGTACAAGTTCTTCAGAATCGGCACGGCGCCTGCCAGGAGGCTGTTACACTTCTTCTGTTTCTGAGCCGAGTGGACGATGGCTTCTACAGCAATTTGCTGTTAATCATAAAAAGTTCAACATTAGCCAAAAAAAGACACAGAAAACTATTGTACAAATTCAGAATAAGGGAATATGGCCAGGACCCAGGACCTCTGTTGTTCTAAAGATTAGAGCTTCCTGGTCGAGTCCAGTTCTGCTACATATTTTCATTTTCTGAATTTATCTAATAAATAATGACTTACCTGACTGTTAGAAATACATGTATTCTTTTGTGCATTCCAAATGTGTTGTAAAATGTCCATAACGGACCACTACGGAATTTTTGTTTGTAGCTCTTTTAGAAAGAAGATAGAAAAATAGTAGAATCTACCTGGTGGAGGACGTTGCTGCTATCAGCCATGGCAAACATGATTTTGGTGACTCCTTCAAAACTTAGTATCATACTGCCAACCTCGTAAGGACCCTGTCAAAAAACAACAACACATAACAGTCATCAGTTCCCTAATATCTTGATAACAAGTTGCAGCATATTTTCAGTATGGAATCCCAGTCTTATTTTCGAAGCCAGCTCATTTTCAAGGCTCTCTTATTTTCAAAGTCATTTAGACATTAAGTCATCTGAACGGCTTTTTCGAAGTCCTTCCATTTTTGCACAGAAAATATGTAATACAGGCTTTCTTATGAAACTATTTTATTCTACCAAAATTGTTGCAAAGATGTTTAATATAATACCTGTAAAACCTGTTTCAGCCAACAAGAAAAATGTGCCTCATACTCTGTATCCGATACATATTCTCAAAGCTGCCCTACTTTCAAAGACGGCTTATTTTCAAGATTTTTGACTGCAAGGAATTCTAAGCTTATTTTCAAATCGGGCCTACCATTGAAATTTAAGGGTATCTTAATAATTAGAGGGCATAAATGGGTTTTCACATCACATGAAAACATGTAATAATTTCGTAAGACATGCCTGCGATAACCTACCAACCAATACACTGGGCCTTGTAGTTGTAAATTACCTGGAGTAAAGTAGAAACGGCTTTTATGGCTTCAATCTTGGATTCAAATATTTCATCGCTGAACAAATCTCTGAAAACAGAAACAGTATATGTCTTACAATAAAAAATTCAAAGATATAATTGAAATTTTGAACTACAATTCACATTACTGAACCATCCAATAAATCTGTATTTCCTCTATTTTAGAACTTAGTATTCCTGCGTTGCAGTGTTAAAACAATGTGTCTCATTTATTGTACTATTATATTACATTTGTATAAAGTAATAACATTGAGATTTATTTTTGAATGTTTGACAGTTGTAACTTCCCAGGACATTATCAGTAAATTCACACAATTTACTTTGGATGGAAATACAGACAAGAAACTCACTTGAATGTGGTTCTGAAGACAAGTGAGAAAACTCAATGAAAAGATGCGTCTCTACAGACAAGGGAGACAACTCATTGGAATAATGGTTCTAAAAACAAAGGCAGTTTCTACAGACAAGGGAGATAACTCACTTGAATAAATTTCTCCCTGCAGACAAGGGAGACGACTCACTTGAATAATGATTGTAAAGACAAGTGAGAAACTCACTTGAAGGATTGGTCTACAGACAAGGGAGATAATTTATTTGAAGGATGGTTCTACAAAGATTACGAACATAAAGGACAGTTCTACAGAAAAGGGATAATTTACTTGGAGGGAGATTTTGAAGATGAGAGAAAACCTTAAGAATTGGTTGTACGGGCAAGGGAGACAACTCACTTAAAGTATTCACTGCACTTTGATTTGAACTTGTCAACCTCTTTGTCACTGTAGAGGTCGTCATATATGTTGGACAGGGCCACAGCGGCGTGCATCTTGGAATTCTCCGTTACAGGCAGTGTCTCATGCTGTTTGATAGCTCCAGCCACTGCTAACAGCCCTTCTAGACCTGTGGAACAATCAATATAAGTATATTGTCCAAAAGATATCTCTACATATATTATATAAATTATATAAATGGTGTATATTATCAATATTATTACTACCGGGTATTAACAAAAAAAAATTTTTTTAACAACATTCATGGTTTTTTTTTATGGATTTTAAAAGAATAAATCATGTAATTGACAAACATATACAATTTAAAAAAGTTATTGCAGAGCAACAATATTTCTATGCAGTGTAGAGATTTGACTTTTGACAGGGAATCATGAAATTTCATTACAGCTGTAATCAGAAGATCCCAGAACGATCTGACAATACATAGAGTTCAACATATCACCAGGCATGTCATGAACTGCCCTTGAAGGTGTTAAACATGTTGATAGAATTGATTAAATTTATTGAAAGCTGTAAATATACAACAAGAGGCCTAGTGGGCCTGAATTCTATCATATAAACATCCTATATTCTCTTTTGGTCTGAACATCGCTGTTTACTGACTTTCTTTAAAAAAAAAAATGTTTTACATCTTTTTCGAAATTTCAAGTCAAGATATTGTTTTCGAAACACTTAGCGCTCCAGGTGCTTATGAAATCAAACGTGGCATATACAACACCTGTCTAGAGGTCTGGTCTAATTTTGTTTTACGTCCTATTAACAGCTAAGGTCGTGTCTAGAGAGACTGCAAAGATGATGATGCATACCTGTAAACTTTCACTCGGTCGAAGTCCCTCCCTCACCCCCTTCACTAGTCTATTCTGTTTTCGCACAGCGTTAAATTCGTCTTTTGTCATTAATATTCATATAGTATGTTGTATAAGTATTTCAACTGTTGTGTTAAACCTGCGACAAAAATTACAGTATTTCGTCTCAAAGGTATTTTTCAAAAATTGCTCAAACTTTGTACCTTCTGTTTCCAAGAAGTCCCTTGTCCATTGGAGGCCATTCTTACGGAGCATGTTTTTCATGAGGAGTTCCATGGCGGCATCACGTCCCTCCCCGGACACTTTGTAGTTCTGTAGCATCTTGATCAGCATGTGAAATGTCTCCATCAAATATTCGCGTTGGTTTTCAACTACAAAATGTAACAAGAGACAGGGTGGTTGTAAAATGAATGAAATTAAATTTTAATATTATATGTATCATAACTTGTTAATCTGTTAAATGCTAGGAATTACTCTCATTTTAGCGATCATGGTTTTAAACTCCTCAAGAGATTAATAACACATACAAATCAAAACATGTTGAGATTACCTATACTATATAATTGTGAATGCCCTTATTGTTTCCTGTAATCTGATCTTTCAAAAAGGACAAATACAGCTGGTTTATGGTTTGTGGTATTGACCAATCAGAATAGCACTTTCTATTCACTTTATTCAAAGCCGAAGATATTCTGTTAAGATATAGATGAAGCCAGGGTAGAATAAGTTGTTGTTCTTGTAGATCTCTGCTACATACACTAAGGTCATAATTTACCTACAAAATTGATACCATTTATGTAAGGAAATCTTACAAAACTAGAACTGTAAGCAAAAGCCTAACTTATACCCCCACTCCTATATAAATTAGAACTGTAAACTAAAGGCTAACTTATACCCCCACTCCTATATAAGTTAGAACTGTAAGCTAAAGGCTAACTTATAGCCCCACTTCAATATAAACTAGAACTGTAAACCAAAGGCTAACTTATACCCCCACTCCTATATAAACTAGAACTGTAAGCTAAAGGCTTACTAATCCATAGTCTCCCACCAGTAATGATTTCTTTATTCACTGAGCTGTACACTTATTTTAGTATATAGGTCACTGACATACTTCCTGTACTCCCTCCCAAGGCCAAAACATACTTGCAAACCAAATCTTGTTAACCCAGATTAACCAGTTTTACTGAAATTGTCCTAGTAGTTAAGGAAGAGTTGTCAGGACAAAGATTTATAAAAAAGGGTCATAACTCGTTAAAAAGGGTCAAAATGAAAAAATCATACCCGGATGCACAATATCAGGTGGTAGTTATTATATCTGAAAACTTTCATTGAAATTGGCCCAGTGGTTTTGGAGAGGTTGTCTTGGCAAGCATTATTCAACAAAGGGCAATATATATAGCTCCGTAAAAAAAGTGTCAGATTGAAAAAAAATATACCTGGATGCAAAATATCAGGTGGTATTTATTGTATCTAAAAAAAATCATTGAAATTGGCCCAGTAGTTTTGAAGGAGTTGTCCGTACAAGGATTTTTCAACAAAGGCCCATAACTTTTCAAAACAGACAGACAGACGGACAGACAAGCTTATTCCAGTATACCCCCCTATCTTTGTTGCAGGATGTATAATAATAGCAGAAAACCAGGGATAATCCATGTTCCAATTTTATCTTAAGTTTACAAAGAATTGCCCCTCTTAATTTTGATATTGACAAAAAATAGCTGAAATGGTCCACTGCTCTCAAATTCCAGTATTCTACCTGAGAAAACAGCAGAATTGTGTTGAGTAGCCCATTCAAAATAGGGCAATGCCTTGTTGTCAAGTCTGACGTCATTAAAATATGGCGACAAATGTCATGCTATTATATGCCCAACTGTTTGGCTACAATGACATTTTCCTCTTGTATGTAGTTTTGAAATTAATAATGAAAATTTTATGGTTTTCCCAATGAATACCATAAATATTCAATTTGTACAGCAGAATATACCAATATTTTCACAAGTGCAAAGCACTCATGAAAAATATCGGTATTCGGCAATACTCGTGAAATATATATTATGGTATTCAATGACAATTGGAAAACTATTAAATATCCTCTATCTATTTTGAATTTATTAAATTAATGTTGCTGAGCAAAAGTTTTTTATTGAAGTCTATAAGGATCCGCGTACAACTGCCAAAAAAAATGAAACAAAGTATTGGAAACTGTTGTTTCCGGCGTGACTATAGCTTTGATAAATCATTTCTGAAAAGAAAACTATACCTTGTGTGAATTTTGTGGAAAATAGTCAAGTTGAAATAAACAAAATATAATCAACAGGTTGTTCTGATTGTTAACAAAATTGGCGGAGCTAGACCAGGGTTCGAACCCTGGACTTCAGATTGTTAATTATGCTATCACAGACTGATAGTGATGGAGCTAACTGGTTGACGAAAGTGTACTAGCCCAAATGTGCTACAGTCATGTTAGCGCACGGGGGGTCTTAATGTGGGAGGAAACTGAAGTACCCAGAGAAAACCCACATGGTCGGGCAGGTGACCCCAACCTTTTCATGTCCGATCGGGGAATTGAACCCGGCTGCCTTGGTGAAAGGCAAGTGCGCTATCCACTGCCCCACCCGACCACCCAACCATAAGCTATAGTAATTGCCAAACGAAAGTTTAAGGGAGGAAAAATCTGTATATAGGAAAAACGGCAGTGCAGTGGGACAATGATCCTTAAAAGATCAGATACACTAATATAGACTTGTAAAGATATTCTAGTGCGTTCTTGTCACGTTAATACAAAATTAAAATCTACACCATTTCCAAACGGAATTTATAGGGAGGCTTCTGTATATAGGAAAACAGCAGTGCAGTGGGAATGAGGGATCTTTAAACGATCAAATACACTCATAAAGACTTGTTAAGATATTCTTCTGCTTTATTGTAATGTTAGTACATTAACTTAAAATCTACACCGCTGCCTACCTAGCTCCAGTTTTGGTCGTCGACAGGGTTCCCCTATTTTCCTCTTGGCTTGGTAATCCTCTTCTGCTTTTCGAAGAATATCCAGGCCAGTGATCTTAACTAACATCGTCTCAATCAACTTTCCCGTTGATGTCGCTAAGGCTTCGCTCGCCTCCCACATCAATAATCCTAGCCTCTTCACGCCAATCTCCTTTGATACCGACCAGGACTGAAAGGTAAAGAAGGTAAAGATCATAACTTCAGGTCCTCTTGCATTGACAAAATCTGGTCATCATGGATGGTCGGGTGGCGCATAGGATAACGCACTCGCCTTTCACCGAGGCGGTCTGAGTTTGATTCCCCGATCGATCATGAAAAAGTATGAGTTCACTTGCCCAACTACCTGGTGTTTTCTGGGTAGTCCAGTGTCCTACCACATTGAGACCTCCTGTGTGCTAATTAACTCCTGAAATTTCATTATGAACTATTCCAACCTTTGAATTGGGAGAGTTCAAATGTGTCTTCAGGGGTGAATGAGTTAGCACCCAGGCCAACAACAGTTATAAATATCAGTTGAAATAACTTGTTTCGTATTTGTTATAAATAAATAAAGTTTATATTTATATCGTCATACTTTCATAAGTACTGCTTGGGCAGAACAATAACAGAGGATACAATTGCATGCACAGTTTTCCTGGATCACAATGACATGGAGGTCAGCGGTTTGTGATATTGGCTCTGAGTTACAGCTTTTGGAAATAGTAGGTCAATTTTCTCCAATTAACCAAGGTTCAATTTTAAGGTCACCATGCTCCAAACTCATTCACCCCTAGATATTTAAACTGGAATTGCACAGTCTTAGATTTGGTAAGGCTCAAATGTGACTTTAGGGGTGAATGGGTTAAACTTATAGGTGATGCAGCCTTTACCTACATCATCATTGATTGGATCATAATCACATGGAGAGCAATTAATGATTCGTCATGTTGACTCGGTGCATATTGTTTTTGCTGATATCTTAACTCATTCACCCCTGAGATTTTATAATGAACTATTCCAACTTTTGAATTGGAAGAGTTCAAATGTGTCTTTAGGGGTGAATGAGCTAATAATATCTAATTTTATGTACCATTGTTTTGCTAAGTCTTTCATTGTTTAAAAGGGGATTTTAAAAACATGCATAGTGTTCCTTCTCCTCAAAACATTTGTAAAAATTGATAATTACTAAAGAAACGATGATACACTGTGATGCCACAAACAAATCTTCCTACTTTAAATCAAACATGAAAAATTCTCCCTGCTTAAAATCCAATCCCCCTACTTCAAAATACAAATCTTTCAACATTGTGTTCCAGAGTCATCACATTTATGTCTAGGGGTACTACAGTTTCCTGCCACATTAAGACCCCCTGCATGCTAACATTGATCGTGCAGAGCCAACAAGATGGTTAAATATATCACGGTAAGCACTAACACTGATCAATTAACAGCACAAAGATGTTAGCACCAACAAATATCTATTAACAGCACAAAGATGTTAGCAACCACAATTATCTATTAACAGCACAGAGATAATAGCACCAACACATATCTATTCAACAGCACAAAGATAATAACACCAACACATATCTATTCAACAGCACAAAGATAATAACACCAACACATATCTATTCAACAGCACAAAGATAATAACACCAACACATATCTATTCAACAGCACAAAGATAATAGCACAAACACATATCTATTCAACAGCACAAAGATAATAGCACCAGCACATATCTATTCAAGAACACAGAGATAATAGCACCAACACATATCTTTTCAAGAACATAAAGATAATAGCACCAACTCTTATCTATTCAATAGCACAAAGATAATAGCACCAACACATATCTTTTCAAGAACATAAAGATAATAGCACCAACTCTTATCTATTCAATAGCACAAAGATAATAGCACCAACACATATCTTTTCAAGAACATAAAGATAATAGCACCAACCCTTATCTATTCAATAGCACAAAGATAATAGCACCAACACATATCTACTCAAGAACACAGAGATAATAGCACCAACACATATTTATTCAAGAACATAAAGATAATAGCACCAACCCTTATTTATTCAATAGCACAAAGATAATAGCACCAACACATATCTTTTCAAGAACACAAAGATAATAGCACCAACACATATCCATTCAAGAACATAAAGATAATAGCACCAACACATATCTATTCAACAGCACAAAGATAATAGCACCAACAAATATCTATTCAAGAACACAAAGATAATAACACTAACACATATCTATTCAACAGCACAAAGATAATAGCACCAACACATATCTGTTCAAGAACACAAAGATAATAGCACCAACAAATATCTATTAAAGAACACAAAGATAATAACACTAACACATATCTATTCAACAGCACAAAGACAATAGCACCAACACATATCTATGCAAGAACACAAAGATAATAGCACAAACAAATATCTCTTCAACAGCACAAAGATAATAGCACCAACACATATCTATTCAAGAACACAAAGATAATAGCACCAATACCGATTTAGTCAAGACCACAATAACGGCTAGCACTATTACATGTGTATATTGTATCTATTTCAGACACTGTTAGTCTATCATGTTGTAAGTTCACATCATCTTGGAGTTGCTTGTATAAAACCTTAAAACAACAGGTCTTTACATAATGCTTTCATAATCCAGTGAACTAACGACTACACACTTATAACGTGGGGCAGCTTCTAGCATTGGAGCCTGAAGTATGATCAATACTTGATCCAATTTAAAGACTGGGTAAGTGACAGTCCAACAGAGCCTGGTGACACCCCCAGATGACAACCAACAGTGTCAAAAGGACAAGCCACGGTCATTATCACTGCTAGTTACAGTGAAAATTACCTAGACGTTATTTAACAGTTTAGTTATAGGCTAAACCAAACTAATTTTCAGTGTCCAGGCTTAAAGTTAGCATTCCACACATCATGATGACGGAACTTATGAAATGTTGAGAAGGTAATATGATATGACGTTCAAGTTCATTTATTTCCTTAAGCTTTACAGCTCATCAGTTGTGCATATATACAGTGCAACATAAAGTAAACAATTAAACGACAACACACATACACACCACTTCTGCACCTACGCCTAGAAGTGTAGAGAGATATCTTGCACGGCTTATTATACTGTTTTTAATAAAAGAATAATATTTGATGATAAGGCCATAGTAATGTATTACTGACAAGCACTAGATACCATTGACTTAATTCAGTAAAAAATTTCGTCTTCTACTAGCAATTCTTACATATTTGGCCAAATTGGCTATTCCTTTTTTATTTTCTGTGGACAACAACTTCATAAATTTATAAATATGGAATACTATATACAAGAAAATTTCCACAGCAGTTTAACTTACTCAGTGACTTGAACCTTTCTATATTCACATCAGTTGAAATTGTTAAGAAAAAAATTAAAAACAAAACTTTCGCATTATATTTTCTTAGAAAAAGTAGCACCAATAATTTTTGTTAAATAAATAAATGTTGCTTCACTGGTAAAAAAAATACTTAAAAATTATTGAGAAGCTAACAAAAAAAAGACGGTTAACAGAAATTTTCACATCACTTTCCTTGTTTGTCACATTGATTACAACAGAGATGACGTCAAAATTCACATGTTCCTTCCATGTGCCTGAGCGCACATTGTAGAAAATGTGATTATGAATTTACGCGAGTACAGATCTACACTTGCGATACAACAACACACATTGTTGTTTCGGATTTTTCAGTAAGTACATCAGTAGTGAAGTTATATAAAACAGCGCCATTAATTGTTTATAAGTCAATTTTTGTTGCTTATCGGTTCCGATATCAGTTTGTTCTACGAAAATCGTATGGCAAATCGGTCTTCAGCAGATGGATTGTTTTAAACATACGAAGTCTCAGTGAACAGTAACATATATTCGAAAAACAGTGGAAAGTTCTGACATTTCTACCAGTTTGATGTACAAGGAATAAACATGTGAAACGAAAAGCTTGGAAGTCTCTTAGTTGATGAAGAATCATTTGAGAATGGACAAAACATTCTTCTTGGAATTATTTATATTTGTGTCGCTTTCTCGTGGGAATTATATCACTACCCAAAAATCAACAAAAACAGAAGTCCCCAAAAAGAGCTAACATTGTTGAACCAAAAAGCTATTAATCAGTTCTTGATTTATATTAAGGACGCCTAATTGGAGATTAAATTCATCAGATCAATTTGTTCCAGAAGTACTTAACTTAAACATTTTAAGGTTGTTTTTATCGAACTGAAAAGTTGTCCGAATAACATCATCAACAACGATGGTCTTAAAATGCTGGAATGACCATGTATCACAAAAGGAATTAATATAAGATCCGAAAGACGGAGCCTGTGCGTGAAACAACCCCAATGCCTATATTACAAGGGACACAAGTGTTTGATGGCAATTCTAGAAGTCAATATAATTAACCTGAAGATATCTGAAGTGGAGATTGGAGTTTTAGCATCAATATTCTGCACGCAGGATGTGATAAGAAGTCTGATTATTGAACAAATATTGGACATAAGGGTGAGAAATCAATATCCTTGTATTAGTGTATTTCAACTAACTCGGTCTGCCTTAAGTCACGATTCGAGAAGTCTAATAGCTTAACATGCCTGGATTACTTCAAAACTGTTCTCTCAAACATTTATAGAATCACTTATTTATTTATTTGAACCTTTTTTTCCTTTTGTGATAAGAAAAAGTCTGATTATTGATCAAATATTGGACATAAGGGTGAAAAATCAATATCCTTGAATAAGAGTGTTTCAACTAACTGGGTCTGCCTTAAGTATCATTACGAGGACTTTAATAGCTTAAATGCCTGAATAATTATATTGTTTTTGTTTTATCCAGTTTTATATTGCTGAAGAATTCAAGTTTCAGGATTTTTTTTATTGATTGTTTAGGTATATAATGTATGTCAAATCGATTCTTTAACTATATATCTCAATCTCATTGACAATCAAAGGTTTATTCAAAGATTATCTTGCCTGACGCCCGGTGCTAGTAGTTTTATGTTGGCTTGTGAAAATTTCTATATCTACTATGAAAATATAGGTCGGGCTAGCAGAAGTTTTCACATTCAACCTGCGGGGCTGTATTCTAAAAATCAAATTGTACAATACAGTGTAGCTGATCACACATTCTAAATATTATTTCCATCAAGATAAAAAAAAAAATTTTTTTTTATTAATTTTGAGCATTTATTCTTGAATAAGTCTTTACACAAGAACAAAGTTGAATAATTTGCTAACTTCATAGGATATATAAAACAATTTTTCAAAGTTACAATTTAATGTACGGATTTTGTCCACCTCTATCCCATAGAGGCCTCTGCCTGGTGACCTAAGAAAAAAATAACACACACAAAGAGCACAACTTTTTGAAAATAAAGTAATTCCTTTACAAAAATTGTGGGAAAATACAGCAGAATGTACATAAGGTGATTAAGGGGCTTTATATCTGCACCAAATTTACCTTAAAATAATCACAGAAGAGCAGAAATAGTTTCGCAGTTAAGCACAAAGAACTGGCAATAAAATATATCTGATGAGATGGAAATAAGTATCTCAGCGATCCATCTGGATAAAAACATCACAATAACTTACAGCCGTCTCCTACACAAGGGAGACAACACAAGTCATATAACCGAAAATGTAGACAATGTAAAAATTATCACTATTCTGACAGTGTTTCTCACATTTTTAAGTGTTATGATTATAATGAGTAATCTCCTGACCATCGTGACGATAATTATCTCCCGACAATTACGCAAAACCACTTACTATCTTATCGCCTCTTTAGCTACAGCCGACATGCTGATAGGGTTGACAATTACACCGTTTTTCATTCTTTGGCTTAGAGAACACGTTTTACTGGAAAGTCCATATTTTTGCAGAATGGTTTTGATTATCTCCCTTTTCCTGACATCGGCTTCTATTGTCAATTTGATGACATTGACAGTCGAGAGATACCTAGCAATCTGTCATCCAATTTTCCATAAATTTCTAATGTCCCACGAGAACTTCATTAAAACTACTATCAGTGTTGAATGGCTTCTTTGTGTCTTATTAACTTTATTTTCCTCATTTGTCGGGTTGAAATCCAATTCGAAAGGGACAACCTGTACCTATTATCAGGGTTTCAATGAAGAGTTCATACAAGGGGCCTTAATTGTAGGTGTTATGCTACCATTTGTGATCATGTTTACGCTGTACACAAAAATATTACACGCCACAAAAAAACATTTAAAACTAAAACGTGATCTTTCCCACACCTCCGAAAGCCCTCAACAGGCCGAAACAAAACTGCAGAAGATAAAACGCAATCATAAAATGACAATTACTCTGTGCCTTATCTTCACGTCTTTCGTTTTATCTTGGGGGCCGTTTTTCACTGTCATCTTTACACAAGCTGTTTGTTCATCATGTACTGTTCCAGACATTGTCAAGGACTTAATTGTTCTTCTCGGATCCATGCACTCACTTTCGAACCCCATAATTTATTCTTTACGACAACCAAATTTCAAGAATATATTCCGTCAATCTATTCGACGTATTTACAGTAAAACACAATACAATACAAAAAGAATCAAATCCAATAGCACACGTATCATAAAATTAAACCATGAAACTGTTAATATGATAAAAGAAATACCAAGGCATTGATATCCAGATTTATTAGCCAAACCACTTCAGTTAAAATCTAATTGAAAGAATTTGAAAGAAAAGGGAACATGGGAACAACTGATCAACATTTATATTCCAAGAAATAGTAATTTTCGTGTTATTTAGTAAAGACAGCAATCACATATTTAAATTTTTTGTGTTTACTGGTGAGGAATGAATATTGTAGTTTTTTTGTTTTTTTTGGTGGTTTTTTTTCACTTATTCAAACCCCCGTGAAAAGGTTATTCAGAGAACAAAATTAATTTCTAAAGTCAATCAATCCATACTCCCCCTCCAGAATGACAATAACACAGGGATGTGACTTGGAACTCTGTATAAAGTGGGTACCAAAATCAGTATACAATACTCCACCATCCCAGGACAGTTTAACAACGACACGCTCCAACCACAGTGACAAAATCATTTATTGACGAAGTGTGTTCTATAGTCTCCTCCAGCAGAACATATTTGACCCCTGCGACCTTGAATATGGGTTAAGGTCATTTATTTGAACAAATTTGGTAGCCCTTCATCCCAGTTTGCTTCTGGCCAAATATCATCACCCCAGGCCTTTTGGTTATTTAGAAGAAGTTGTTCAAAGTTGACGCTGGACGGACGGACGCCGCACCATGCATGGCATAAGCTCACTTGCCCTTATGGCAGGTGAGCTAAAAATGTGATAAAAAAATTGAATACATTGTAATTACCCTTGATTCTGAGTTATTGCATATGCAGGAGAGTACCCGGACAGCTGACTGAATTACTGCGAGGTTCCGTGCCTCTAACAGGGTCTTTAACTTCTGTACGCCTGACTGGTCACAGATAAATTTAGCTCCAGCCTCATCCCGGGCCAGTACCACAAGGTTGTTTAGAGCCTGAAATATATCAGAAAAATCACAATATTAGTTTCAACAGAGCAGGTATTCAAACAATGTCATTATCAATATATTCTAGGTCTTTTTCTAATATTCATCAACTTTCAAGTTATTCAATATTAATTAACTACTCAAAACAACTACTATAGTTGAACTTTGTATTCACCTAGCATAATTCAAAGAGGTTTTTTCATATTCATAGATTCAATTAAATTCACTGTACTACAGTTCAATTTTATGTAATTCAGAGAGGTTCATTGATGTTCATTCATTTAAAGCAGCTATTAGTATTCAATTGGTTCCATAATATTCATTTTATTCAAAGATGCTACAATTCAACATCGCAATCACAAATGTATTTCAAGGAGGTCATTTCATAATTATTCAAAGCAGCTATAACAGTTAATTTTATATTCTCTGACATAATTCAGAGAAGTTATGCAATATTCAATTCTATATTCACTGACTTAATTCAAAGAAGTTATTCAATATTCAATTTTATATGCACTGACATAATTCAAGAAGTTATTCAATATTCAATTTTATATTCACTAACATAATTCAAAGAAGTTATGCAATATTCAATTCTATATTCACTGACTTAATTCAAAGAAGTTATTCAATATTCAATTTTATATTGCACTGACATAATTCAAGAAGTTATTCAATATTCAATTTTGTATTCACTGACTTAATTCAAACTCCAGTTGTACACTTGAATTTGTGGAATATTGTGTTTTTGTGTTTATGTGAAATAAACTGGTCAAATGTTACACTTTTGTGTTTATGTGAAATAAACTAACTTTTTTGTATGACAATGAATTTGTGATTTTTTGTCTCAAAATCTTAATTCTATTGTGGGATAGCAAACTGGTTAGTAAATCAAAGTTTGATAACAACAATAAAATAGGTAACTATTTCAATTAATTATTTTGATCAAATAAAGATATTTTTTTAATTTCTATTTACCTCTTTCCTTTTAAGACATTGTATAATGTTAAACAGAAACTAGAACTGTTGCCAGATTGACAGACTTATACCTCTTGTGCAAAGACCTGTAGGAATGGCACTTTCCAGAACATTTCTAAAAAGGACATAACCCTATTAATAGAGATGAAACTCCCAACTTATATACTCTATTCACATCCACTCAATGCAAGAGTTACATGTACCAAGCGTTATTCAATTCTGTGCAGCACTTCATGAGGAGTAGCACAAACAACGTTTTTAAACAAAGGTACATAACTCCAAAATAAGGGGAGGTAACACCAATTATCCTTGATGTAAGGGTCCAGTGTACAACAGGTCATTCAATTTGGTGCAGCACTTTGGAGGATTGGTGCAAACAATATTTTTACACTAAGGGGGATAACTCCATGAACAAATATCCTGATTGAAATATTTATCGCAGAGTTTGCTGACTGTAAAGTGTCATGAAATTCAGCTGTAAACTAGAAGCTGTACAGGCAAAATTGTGTTGTTTAACGCTTGTACAAAGAGGCATAACTCCTATAAAAATAATTGGATACAAATTTTAATCGCAGGTGCACAACTTTGAAATGTGTCTTCAGGGGTGATCGAGTTAAACACTAGTTTGCACTGTTTGTAGTGGTTTTTAACTGAACATCAGGATATATGTGTTGATTGTTGTTAGAGTAATTTCCTCATTGTAAGTAAAATTTGTAAAATTTAGAAGCACAAAATTAACTACATGTATAACTATTTTTCCCCTATATACATGGTTGATCCTAAAGCTATATTACGTCAGTTTGTATTGCGGAGTTATCTGCTCTTGCGAGGAGGTATTGATTGCTACGTCATTTGTTTGTGAGAGTTACGTCGTGATTTTTTGAGAAAACAACGTCATTTTCTCACACAAACTAATGACGTAACAAGCGATACCTGCTAACAAGAGCAGATAACTCTGCAATACAAAAAGACGGAATAACTGTATACTGGATAAAATTTGTAGCAGTTTAAAATACTTTGGCCGTTTTTGCTCTCTGCAACGTTGGTGAATTTACCAATACAGCCAACAGTAGTCAGCGATATAATAAGCATAGTTATCAAATCTGAAGGCCTAAATTAATGTTTGGGGAAAACAGATTTTATCAGCGTATAACGAAAATTTGACTGAGTGAAAATTTGTTGATATAAAGTATTTCATTCCATTGTGATATAAGTAGATGCTATGCTATCTCATTGACAGTAATCGAAGTAACATTACAGGGATTACTGCAGGAATAGAAAGTTAGTACCCTTTCTTAAATAGGGGAAAATATCTGCTGTAGGTGCATGACCCATCCAGCAAGTGCTGCAGGCCAGAGCCTGTGGGAGAGTACATGGATGTCATCTTTAATTTTTGTTTCTCGCACTTCATTATAGATGCTTTCAATTGACCACCGGATATGCATTAGAATAAAGTGTTTGTGTGACTTATGATATTGTAAACTGTAAACAGGGCTAGCTGTAAACAGTGTCGTTAAATATCAGCAGTGACAATTAACACGACCACGTGCAATTATCACTCAGTCGTGAAACTGACTGAAAATAAAAACAAAATGGAACCAAGACAGATATTCATGTGGCGATATTTCAGTTACAAGTGGGGGAATTTTAAACTGAAATAGGGGAAAAAATAAAGCTGAAACAGGGAAAAATAAAGCAAAAATTGGAGAGGGGAATTGGCCCATATTCAATATATTCAATATTAGGCCTGTATATATCCATGCATTATATTACCTGAAGTTTTTTCTCATCGTCACTGGTCAGGTCGAATGCTAGATTGAACATCTGTGAAACCTTGGCTGATGTGCTATTTTGCTGCTTGACCTGAAAGAATACAAAGCATGCATTGGTTTATTATAATACAAAGCTAGTGGGATCTTGGTGTATAATCCATAGTTCTGCTATTTATACAAACTTTTGATTCATCAATATCTCAAAATAAAATGTAAAATTAATAAAGTATGTAAAATATTTTTGTTTTGTTTAAACATATAAAATCTATTTATTTTATAACAATTATGAAACAAGTTTTCACAACTTATACTAATCAATCTAGTTGGCACAGATGATAGCATGCAAGGGGTCTTACTGTGGGAGGACACCGGATTACCCGGAGAAAACCCATGGAGTGGGGCAGGTGACCCCATATCTTTACACGTCCGATCATGGAATTGAACCCTGGTCCCCTTGGTGAAAAGCGAGTGCATGATCCACTGCGCCGCCCATTCCCCCTTTTGGTAATATTTAGTATTAATGTACTCAATCTGTTATCCTAAAGAATCCAAGTTCCGGTCTGGATACACATTTTTCCCACCCTTCACAGGTATTTGTGAGAGCCTCGGGTTAGACAACCAAAAAAACATCACCCCTCGGGTTTGAGATTTCTATGTCAAACCCTCAAGGTAGGGAAAGATTCTATTAATCTTCTCTGAACCTCTGGCATATTTCATGACAAAATTGAAGGCACAAAGTTAGCTATTTAACATGTTTCAGGTATAAAAATCTGATCCATTGATACCTGGGGCCCTTTGGCTTATCCAGTTCGAACGGTTTGTCAGCTTTTTAATTTATACATTTTCGGGTATAAACCCTGTTGGGCCTACCAATGTTTATGCAGGCCATTCCAGGCTTTGTCAAGGCTCCCCTGAAAGCAACATCAGATTACTAGGTCCAACCGGATTTCATAAAAGAACAACTTTGGTCCAACCGTTTTGATTGTGATAAACGAATGTGGCCCTGTCCTTTGAAGAGAACAGAGGAGTTACACCAGAGTTTAAAGCCTGTCGATTTTAACATAACACTGCCATGTGATTCCTCTTATATTCATCAAACATCAAAGACATCAGACAAGTCTACTTGTAATATCCGCAAGCTGTCTTCCACTTTGTTATGACATATTCCAGCAGGGCAGAGAAATAGGCAGTTTGGAAGCTAAACTTGGGATGTCCCACGATATCAATCTATCAATGTACAGTATATCATTAACACAGACCTAGCATCACAATCATCCTTACTGTGAAACCAGATATTTTTGGTGGGCCCAAATTTCAGGGTTTCACAAACAAAACAAAAATTCTGTGGGTACAAAAATCTGTGGATAACTAGTACACACTTATACTGATAATTGCTTTACAACAAACGTGTAAATAATTCCTTGACCTATGAACTTGTGAATGAAGAGTACCCACAAAATCAATGAAATTAAAAACACCACAAAAATGAGCAATTTCACAGTAAACAATGTATCTGGATTGTTCACATTTTCCTCAGTCATCCAATTACAGATCAACACCTATGACATTTCATTGTACTGCTGACAACATTTCATTATACTGCTGACAACATTTCATTATACTGCTGACAACACCAATGTATGTCCACAGAAGTGTCAACCTCTGAAACCTACAACGAGGGAGATCTCCCTCATTCCACATTTCCACTGAGGGAGAAAGTGCATGAAATGCAACTGAAACTGCTTTGCTCAATTTATCTTTTCCATTTATGTATCAAAATAAGTCTGAAACACATTAATTTGATTTAGACACGCCTGTTATGGTCATTGACCACAGGATGTAGATTTTGAGTTTGCACGAGTTTAGGCTTGAATGTGAGAGTTTCAAGGGAGATTGGTAAATTTTGGTCAAAACGAGGGAGTCTTCCTTCTGAAGAGGGAGGGTTGACAGCTATGGACAATGTTGACCAGTTATTTGACACAATATCAAAGGATTATTCATACCTAATTTCAGGGACTGTTTTTTTTATATATAAATGGGTCCTTTTCAGACTAAATAAGGTCCTTCTGCATCGTTTTAATGGAATTCCTAGTACAAACAATTTCTATGCTTCAAAGGATAAAAAGCCAAAAACATGAAACTTAGCCCAGACCTGTCTTAGTTTTCTTAGACTCTGAGAGTGAGAGGACTTGACACCAAACTTCCTTGGATCATGATTGATAACATTTTATCAGAACCATAAAAGGATTTTAAAGATTGGTATTGTCATTCTTGCAAAGAAGTTGACAGCCTGGTAGAATTTTAAATAATGCCTTTATTTCTTCTGTGGTTTGCGAAGATTCGTTTTTTCGTTATTGAGAAAAGGTTAATAAATATGTGAAAAAAAAAAAATGAAACTGAAAATTTTGCAAAAATAAGCTCACTTATTACTTTTTCAATAAAAAAACTGTTACTGTACTATATTTTAAATATAGATACAAAATTGACCCTACATTTTTGTATCTACCCTGAAGTTGTTATTGACATTTAGTGATGAGCACTTTTAAAGTCAGAACTCCTGCTTTATTTAGGCATAGTAAAAGTATTAAAAAAGAAAATGACAGCCTACCGACCCCTATTTTTTTCAAGCAGAAATAGGAAACACACCAAAAATATTTGCCTGAACACTCTTAGTTAAAACTGGACATTAGTTACCTTTTCCTGAATTAAAGGTGTCAGTCGACCTAGAATGGGATGGATGGCCGTATTCTTTGGGTCAATGTTGACCAACGCTCCAGCGTCTTTGTAAGCTTCCTCGACCTTACCGAGCTTTTCGTAAGCCTGACATCTCCGGTAAAGAGCCTTAGGATCATTGTTGATGACTTCTAAGGCTGAAAACAACATGTATTAACAGAATGATTGATAAGCAGAAGTTTCTGAACAATGGACCAGAAGAGCTTAAAAGGAGTTACATAAGTCTAGTGGTAGGACGCCGTGCTCGTGACCGAAGGGTTGTGGGTTGGCGTCATGACACGGCACTGTGTTGTATCGTTGAGCAAGATACTTTACTCTGTTTGCTCCAGTCGACTCAGCTGTAAATGAGTACATGGTTGGGCAGTGCTAGAATTGTAGAATGCTAGCTGTGAGCGCCGAAATGGCAGCACCGGCTGCATGCTCCCCAGGGAGTTGAGAATGATATTGGCTGGTTGCAAAGGCCCTATAACCACGGATAATAGTTTGTGAACTGCTTTGAGATGACCTACAAACTATAGGTTGTGATAAAGAGGAACATAAGAACCACTTTTTATTAAAAAGAATTTAATCAATAATTTCTAATGACTAATTGAAAGAAATGAATTACAAACTGTTTAATATGGAATGTCATAAACACACACTTTAATGTAACTAAACTGTTTCCTTTAATTAATGTATTCAATATGTTATCATGTATTTTCAAAATTATTATGTGAAACAAAAAAAACAAAAACAAAAAATCTAGAACATCATGTTACATTAATTGAATAGATCTGCTTATTGTAGTGCTTGCAAAAGTCTTGATTTGAGCACTCATTCCTGATTGTGGTATGAGTAAAAATCAGAAATATGACCTTTTCAAGTATAACAACAACAAGATAATTTTAAGTCCAAAAACATTACATGTAAAGTACCTGCAGTTGCAATATGGAACACATCCTTTCATTCCTAAAGAAGAAATTAGGATTTTAAAGAATTTGCTATATTTCCCCTATTGGGCCCCGCCCTCTGCCCCGAACAAGACCAGACCCACCATTTATACAAAATTTGTTCCCCTTCCCCCAAGGATGCTTCTGACCAAATTTGGTCAAAATCTGCTCAGTCGTTCATGACAAGTTGCGAATTTTAGGAAAAATTGACGGATGCACCGCCATGGCATAAGCTCACCAGTCCTTCGAACCAGGTGAGCTAACAAAAATAGGATAATTTTAAGTCCACAAAAATTACATGTCAAGTACCTGCAGTTGCGTCCTCTACAGCTTCTTCATATTTCTCCTGTTTTAAATGACAAGCTGCCATGTTTTTGTAAATTGCAGCTTTGTCTGCATCTTTCAGGTCGGAGATTTCTAAAGCTTTCGTGTAACATGTGAGAGCAGCGACCAGGTCTCCAGCCTTGAAGAGCTTATTTCCTTCCTCCTTTAAAGCAAGTTGGTCTGACATCTGAAGATGTAAAAAGATATTTTTTTTAAAAGTCATTTTCAATTCATACTTCTAATTCATTTGAGATCACTGATTAGTAAGTCACTTGATTGGTCATCAAAATTATTTGCAACAGTGAAATTTCTCATTTGCATATGAAGCCGGATGGCGTTCATGACTTTGATGACCCTGACTGATCCTGACACATTGAAATTGATTATTCATGACATCACAAACAATAGCGTGACCCCAAAAGGTCAACGTAATTCCGCCTCACTTTGAATATTTGTGACGTCACCAATGCACAGCAGAGAGACCCAGAATTTGAAGGAGACACAGAATTTGAAGAAAAAACTCAAAATATCTTAAAATCGTCGTTTCATTCAGTGTTTTTGGTTCATATGAATTAGAATGGGGATAACCCTACTGCAGAGGTATATTCTTATTATAATTTAGAGTTTGTATTGTGAAGTACGTGGTTTCTCAATCTGTGAAATCTAACATTTTAACTTTCAAGGTTTTTCTCTTGATATTAATTATGACTGTCACATTACAACCCCAATAATTTGTTTCCATAACTACTGTACTAGTCCTACTAGGGTGACATTAAAATATTTTTTTACATAGAGTGGAGAAAGAATGAGTTTGGTCCAAACTGTCAGAGCATTCTACCAAATATACAACCTGGATCAATAATTACATAATTTCAGTACTCAAATTGTGTGTTCCAACAATCCAAATTGTGGGTAAGCAGGGTTCAGCCTTTCACTTAACAGAAAATTATTGTGGTTATTGTTCAAAAAGTGTGTTTGAATTATCCGCCTACTCAAACTGACCGAAGGTTTATCGTATGTAACCAAAGTCACTCTCTAAAGTGCCTACACTGGAGTTGACCCTGTAATCACACATTAAAATTAAAGAGAATTCCCCCTAGTCAAATCAATGTTTCAGTAACCGATAGTTTTGTAGAAGGATGAAGAAAAGTGATAAAGATAGTGTCATCGCTGGGAGTTGAACCCGAGACCCTTGGCTCTCCAGCCGGATGCTCTACCCCTGAGCTAAAGGGAAATTCTCACAAGACAACGCTTGTAAGGCAACCTAATTAATTCACATTATTCCCCCCCTTTTTTCAAACACCAACCAAGGTTCTTTTACTCTCCACCAAGGGTTCTCGTACCTTGAATGGGGAGGGTCAACATCACCAGTTTGTAGTAGGATGAGGAAAAGTGATAAAGATGGTGCTGTCGCTGGGGCTCGAACCCGCAACCCTTGGCTCTCCAGCCCAATGCCTACCTCTGAGCTAAAGGGAATTTCCCCACAGCTAACGCTCTTAAGTCCACCGAATCAATGCACATCTTTAACAGTTTTACAGGGGTTTCATGATTTTAAGTTGCGTGTATACGTATGTATCCAACACAAAGTAGACAGACAATTTTAGTACATTTTCATAGTACCCCAGAAATATTCGTGTTAGTATTTTCATGATAGAAGCAAGTAAAATATCTGTAATAGGAGGGTATTTTTACCAGCTACTGGCTGCAAATGAAACCCTAGAGTTTTGGTACCTAAGAATAGGTTGTTTTGGTACTTCTGCTAAAGAATCTAATAATACAAAACCAACAACACACAGGTTACAAAAAGTTTCTGGGAAGTACCAAAATGCTGTTAACAAGTGTAACGGAACTGGACTGGGTTGATCATCGCCAATCAGGTAGCTTAATTTAAGTCTGTCAAGAGTTTGGAGGGTTCCAGGTTCAATTCCCTGTCTGCTGGTTTAATTTCTCTCTCTCCTATTACACAATTGGCATGCTTGTTTAAACCACTGCAGTGGCGGATCCAGAGGGGTTTTTTGGGCTTCAGGAACCCCACCCTGAGAATTTTCTTTAAAATCATATATTTTCACCATTTTCCTCAATTTTCCCAACATGGAAACCCCCCCAGGAAATTTGGAAACCCCCCCAGATAGGTCTCTGGATCCGCCACTGCACTGGGTCGACAATGTAACTGTTCTCACTATTTCCAAGTGCCTCTCCTTCAGGTTGAAAGGGACTATGTGTATTACTAGCCCAGTTTGATACCAATTTTAGCTAAAGAGAAATCTCCTCTAACCAAGACAGCAAAAAACAGCTGAATAGTTCATCACTGTAACACATATGTAGCTTCTGAGTGGTTGAATTAAATTCCATACAATAAATAAGGGTTGGATTACAATTTTTCAAAAATATGCAATTTTTAGCACTGTTGCTTTTCCACAATAAAAAAAACCCAATACCCAGTAAGTGTATATAGAAGCCGCCCACAGTGACTGCTTATATATTTTAATTGTTTTCCATACTTTGAGGGGGGCGGTGGGTAAACCGGTGAAACAGGAAGGGATATATATATGTACAAGTTGGCCGTACTTATTTCTGTCAATTTAAAATCGTTTAAGTGTTAAACCATATTTACATATGTAGATAAATGAAATAATATGTGTGTATGGTAGTATCTTATGTTCAACAATTGCACGATGCCTTAATGCCTTCTCGGGTTACATGGGATGTCGTAGATTGGTATCTTCATTTCATCGGTACGAGCATTGACAGCTCTTATATAAGCGTACGTTTTGCTTTCCGCTGCAAGTTTAAATACATTTTTTAAGTATAGTGGTGAAAACAAGACTTCACTTGATTGCATTTTGATGACTAGCTGGCCCTTCAATATTACAAATGTGTAAAAACACAGAAATCTTAACTTACCTTTTTGACGTTTTTCCGCGTGCATCTGTCGGTAAACCGGAAGTTATAGTGTGAACGAGCCTTCTGACAAAAGAGTTCGTCTGCAGAAAAACCGCATGTAACACCCGAATTTGTCACTTATTGTAAAGATTTCTAGTTAATTCGATCATTTACTTACTCTCTCTTAGCTTACAGTGATAGTTCTATGTTTAGCGATCCACTGAAATATGATTATTTTCCTACATAAAGGAATTGGGCCCGACTGCCATATAAGGTCATGAAATGCGATGCAACCGGTCTCCAGCATCTTTCCCAGTAGGGGCTAGAACATTCGACATCCAGAATCCTCTAGACCCCTCCATGAGATAGACGTTTGCCAGATGTCACACCCACAATATAATTGGTTGAATGGAGTAATACATTTGTATATCTATAACGGATTAGAACATCGGATCGAATTAGTCGATAAAGGTCCTTGCTAGTAGACTTCATTTGCCAAAATCCAGGTGCGAATAGATTGAGAGTGTCACATTGTCAGCAACGTACAAAAATGTACAATTTATAAATATTGATACTTTGATGAGTAAAAAATGAACATGGAATGCACTGAGATGAAGATTTCATTTATTTTAAAATATTACTTTGAAAAGATGTGTGTGACTTTCACGAATACAAGTTGGTATAGAGTATATTTTATGCATATGAAATAATTTCCTAGATAAGAAAAAATGAAAAACACCAGTTTGAGATATCTTTACGAATGACAGTTGGCATTTGAAGTTTGGATTCAAAGCTTACAACCGGAAAGCTCTGTTAGGCTGTGTAATATCAAGCAATCACAGTTTTATACGGGTATGACATATCATTATAGACAAATCATGCTAACGAGGCTTTCTATGAACATGTCATTGTGATATCAAGCTACGTACAACCATAACAAACCGCTGTATGGGGTGAAATATCAAGCTGACAATGCTTTTGTCTCATGAATTTTAAAAAAGCACAGCATTATAATCTAACTATGTGATCAAACTAATAATTCAAGCTCAGTATGGATTGTTTTTACCTCAATTAATTAGCCGTGCCTTATAAAGCTAACAAACTTCTTATTAGTTTCTAGTAGCATCAGGCTACATGACAGAACTGAGCTGGTCCTTATAGTGATATTCCAGGGTCGAGTTAATATAGTTTATTAATTCACCCCTAAATATCCCAACTGGACTTTCCCAATCTTTGATCTGGTCAGGAAAAGTGACTTTAGGGGTGAATGGGCTAAGAACTAGCTTGATAGTTTATTCCACATCCATACAGAGATTTGTTAGCTTGATATGAGACACCCGTACAGAGCTCCACTGGGTTGATATTACACAATCTTACAGAGCATCGTTATCCCTCTAGTATTGATTAAGTCGTTGACCGGAGTAGATAAGAATATCCCTTTGTTAACTTCCGAAATCCTAGGCCGCAACTTCGTTGTACTGATCGGGAAATAATCGAGCAAGTGAATCGTAAAACCTTAAAGTAAATAATAAAAAAAAAAAATGAAAATGACTGGAAAAAAGGGACAAACTAATTAAGATGTAATACGATTTTATTAACAAATCAAATGTCACGCACGTGTTACAGGAATTAACAGGACTTTGTTTATCAATCCATGTGCATTTTTATCTTGAGACAATGAATAGTTGAATCGGTCATTTATCATTATTGTTATGATACTGTCTAGACTATTAGGGCAATTTATCTTAACATACAAAAAAAGTAATTGCTATTAAATTCCTGTTGTGTTATAATATGTCTAGTCAAATATGTCACATAATTGCTGGTTATCTGTGGTGCCAAAACGCAAAAGAATGAATAAACAATCCATGTGTGGCAATTGTGCAGTATTATCAATACAAACATGTAATAAGAAAGAAATGATATTAAAATGATTCATGTCAACATAAAAACAAAAACAAAAAAAATAAAGCATCATCGAATTTCCAGCGGGTGCAATCAAAATCCTACAAAAAGTAAAATAGCGTTACCCCTTCGATTTCGAGGATGGAATTGGGAGGATTGAGGTGAAATTGTGAAAATGTTATCTCAGCACTGCTGTCTATGACAGCAGCGGAGCATGAAGCGAAACGACAGGGACGGGAGAGGGCGTAAGGAGAGCTGCAGCATCCGCCTGTCAAAGATGGCAGGTCAGCTCCAGACAAAAATTACATAAGGGTTTCAAAATCCTGAATTCTGAACATATTTCGGCCAGCTATTTATACTCCATGCATGGGTTTTACGCTTTCTTTTCTGAAAAATTAGAAACGAACATTATGAAAATCACTGCATGCACATTCAAATGGAGTGACAATGAAAAGAACGTCTAGAAGAACAACATTTCGTAAATCTTCTGGACTGGCCAGTAATTGTGTCTAGTTTCTCGGATTTTTTTTACGAATGCTGTGTATCATTTACACAGAAGCCGAAGGAGCAGAGATCTAGTCTCCCACGGGGACAAGAGGCATGCTCCCGGCGGAAAAGAGCCGTCTGGTGCCATCTGGGCCTGTATTCATGAAACCGTTCGCGTGCTCAAGCATGGAATATGTGCTCAAACCAACTTTCTTGTAACTCACTTAAATCATGTCAAACGATCAAAAAGTCAAATGTAAATATTAAAAACAGTATTTGGCTTCAAGTCTCTTCAAAGTTTCTCCAAAACATAAATTATTTATAACCGTAACAAGAAATCAGGCTTGAGCACAAAACCCATGCTTAAGCTCGAGACGGGTTTCATGAATACGGGCAATGGAGTACTTTTAGAGCTCAATTAATTAAGTTTTAAACTTTAATCGAATTTTAGGTCAACAGGAAGATGCCCCTAAAAGGACCCAATTTCCCCCCGGGGTACAAACCTAGTTCGTAGGTCGTCTCAAAGCGGCTCACAAATTATTATCCGTGGCTATAGTGCCTTTGCAACCAGCCAATATCTTTCTCAACTCCCTGGGGGAGCCATTTCGGCGCTCAAAAGGAGTACATTTCTAGCACTGCCCAACCACATACTCATTTCCAGCTGAGTAGACTGGAACAAGCGGAATAAATTATCTTGCTCAAAGATACAACACGTACAGTGCCGTGACTCGAACCCGCAACCCTTCGGTCACGAGCCCGGCGTCCTACCGCCTCCATAACCTCTATATATTTACATGAATATTCAGGTAGACAAAATTGTTCTTAACAAGATCGTACACAATAACATATTTATTTGAACCATGTTCAGATTTCAAATAACGCTGATGTAGCAAAATCCACGACTTTTCGTCTATGCGTCAACATCTGGTGTTACGTCTATATGCCCGTTAAAGTATTTAAAATATAAATAGTTTTTGTCTGTTATTCGGTCATATCATTATCGTCGTGGCATCGGAAATCTACGTTGGTACATATCGGACATGCATGATATTATTTTCTACCTTAATTATCTCGAGCGCTCGAAATATTAGCGCTCGACTTATTATTTCGAGCGCTCGGCATAGCTTCTTAACATTATATGAACTTCTGGAGAAGTTATGTCGAGCGCTCGAGACAATTAAGGCAGAAACTAATATTATGCATTTCGTTAATGTACCACCGTAAAAATCAATTCTATTTGAAATAGTAACAAATAGTACCTTGTTCTCCCAAGCCATCAAACCAGTTAAGAAGATAATACATTGCAATGTAATTGTTATCATACAGGTGTTAGGGAAAGTATTAACGAAGACCGAAGGCCGTGAGTCCAGTAAACCATCTGTTGCTCATCGAAACCTTTAACACGTGTTTTGTTATTCTATGACATTCCTATCACGAACATGGATTTATCAACTATGTAAACTTTAAAAGGGAAAACGTGAAACGTTTAAGAATATGAAGAAGAATTCATAATTGATAGAAGTACCATGGATGGAATCAAGAGTGACATGTGGTTGGGTGGCGCAGCGGATAGTGCACTCGTCTTTCACTAAGGCGGCCGGGGTTCGTTTCCCCGATCGGACTTGAAAAGGCATGGGGTCACCTGCCCGACCACGTGGGGTTTTTCCGGGTACTCCGGTATCCTCCAACATTAAAGTCACTCGCACGCCAACATCCGGGCCTTTAAGAGTGATAAATATAAGTTGAAACAATTTGTCTTATAATTGTTGTAAAATAACTAAAGTTTATGTAAGAAGTCCTGAAAGAAGAAGAAGAAGGTGTTTTTTTAAAGTTTGTCTAAGACAGCAGCCGAGGATTGAAACGGCAAGGTCGGGGAGGGCACGAGATGGCTGTCGTGCACGTCTGCAAGGAATATGACGGCCTACCCCAGAAGAAATAAAATTATCACGGGGATGCAAAATCCTGCATCCTGAATATAATTCACTTTTAGGATTGAGGTTTTATTTCCCATTGTTACCGCGTTCAATTTTCAAGGTTTATTTAAGTTTCAAAAGAAGGAGGAGGAGAGGAGGAGGAGAAATGAAGGATGATAATGAGGAGGAGGAGGAGTGGAGGATGATACTAAGGAGAGAAGGAGGATGGGAGGATGATAATTAGGAGGAGAAGGAGTGAAGGATGATAATGCGGGGAAGGAGGAGGAGTGGAGGATGATAATGAGGAGGAGGAGGGAAGGATGATAATGAGGAGGAGGAGGGGAGGATGATAATGAGGAGGAGGAGGAGGAGGGGAGAAGACGTGAAGGGTGATAAGGAGGAGGAGGAGTGGAGGAGGACAGAGGAGGAGGAGGGAAGGATGATAATGAGGAGAGGAGGAGGAGTGGAGGATGATAATGAGGGGGAGAAGACGTGAAGGGTGATAAGGAGGAGGAGGAGTGGAGGAGGACAAGGAGGAGGAGGAGGAGTGGAGGATGATAATGAGGAGGAGGAGGAGTGGAGGATGATAATGAGGAGGAGAAGACGTGAAGGGTGATAACGAGGAGGAGGAGTGGAGGAGGACAATGAGGAGGAGGAGGAGTGGAGGATGATAATGAGGAGGGGAGGAGGAGGGATTGGGTTGAGCTGTACATATGTTGTGTAATGGATCCAAAATACTGATAGAAAGACAGGGTTTTTACCTTTAACATTGTTGATTTTTTTTACCTATGATCTTTCGAGACTTTTGAGTCAACACTTTTCAAAAACTTTATATTGATGGTCTGATTGACCTATGACCTTTGGAGACCCACATATTGATTTTGTATAACGCATATAAAACTTTTGCCATATCTATGGTCTGATTGACAAATTATCTCATCAAAATATACTAAACTATGTCTTGTGTGATACGCGTGGTGATTGGCCTTTTGTCTATTTACAGGGTCACGATAATCCAGAGTCACTGGGATCCACTGCACAAAGAACTCAAACTGTGTTGTTTCCTGTTATGCTACAAAATAATTCTTAGAACCCTTAATAAATCTGAAATAAAAATCTTTAATTTTGTGTGTTACTTCTTGGTCGGTGTGTGTATGTGACTGAGTTTGGCTACTTATTAGGGTATAACTATCAGTGTGACAACCAATGAAGATATGTGACTGGCTAGGATGCAACATCCTGCATCAGTGTATCCAAACTGTGACAATGTTACTATCTGTGTCATTGTGCGACTACCTGTGTCAGTGTGTGACTACCCATGTCAGTGTGTGACTACCTGTGTCAGTGTGTGACTACCTGTTTGAAGGTGTGGTGTCAGTGTGTGACTATTTGTTTCAGTATGTAACTACCTGTGTCAGTGTGTGACTAGTGTCAGTGTTTGACTACATGTGTCAGTGTGTGACTACCTGTGTCAGTGTGCGACTACCTGTTAGTGTGTGACTACCCATGTCAGTGTGTGACTACCTGTGTCAGTGTGCGACTACCTGTGTCAGTGTGTTACTACCTGTGTCAGTGTGTGACTACCTGTGTCAGTGTGTTACTACCTGTGTAAGTGTGTGACTACCTGTGTCAGTGTGTGACTACCTGTGTCAGTGTGTAACTACCTGTGTCAGTGTTTGACTACCTGTGTCAGTGTGTGACTACCTGTGTTAGTGTGTGACTACCTGTCAGTGTGCGACTACCTGTGTCAGTGTGTGACTACCCATGTCAGTGTGTGACTACCTGTGTCAGGGTGTAACTACCTGTGTCAGTGTTTGACTACCTGTGTCTGTGTGTGACTACCTCTGTTAGTGTGTGACTACCTGTGTCAGTGTGGGACTACCTGTGTCAGTGTGCGACTACCTGTGTCAGTGTGGGACTACCTGTGTTAGTGTGTGACTACCCGTGTCAGTGTGTTACTACCTGTGTAAGTGAGTGACTACCTGTGTCAGTGTGTGACTACCTGTGTCAGTGTGTTACTACCTGTGTCAGTGTGTGACTACCTGTGTCAGTGTGTAACTACCTGTGTTAGTGTGTGACTACCTGTGTTAGTGTGCGACTACCTGTGTCAGTGTGGGACTACCTGTGTTAGTGTGTGACTACCCATGTCAGTGTGTGACTACCTGTGTCAGTGTGCGACTACATGTGTCAGTGTGTGACTACCTGTGTCAGTGTGTGTCTACTTGTGTCAGTGTTTGACTACCTGTGTCAGTGTG